ATTTACTTACTTGCTAGAATGTCTTTGTAATCCCCAAATTAATACTTGTGGAACTCTCAAGGTGGCTCCTGGATAGACACACAGTAGTGAAAACTCTGTCACTCCTTGCACATGTCCCAAGCTAAGGTCAAATTAGGTGACCCTCAGTCTTCTTGTTTCAGCTTTCATACAAAGATGACCTGAAGACAGAGACAGTAGAGGACAGCGCAGGGTCGTGCAAGAAGCTGTGGCTCTGGGGCCAATAGGGCAGGGTCTGAATTGTAACTCTGGCACCTGTTAGTGGAGTGACCTCAGGCAAATCACTTAACACTTCTGTACTTCCTTTATTCTTTTGGAAATAAAGAAAATTCAATCTACCAGGATGAGTTGTTTTTGGGAATTAAGATTATAACCTACGTGAGATATGTATATATGTACATATATACCCTGGAAACAAGGTTTTAGAATTTGATTAATTTGGTGTTCTGGGCAACTTTATGGAATATTACTACTGCAAATAATAAGAATTGACTGTAATTATTTATAAAGAAATAACAGAGATATAGACAAAACAATTATTTGGATGAGCTAGAGGCAGGCTTCAAGAAGCCTCTGAAGAAACAGAACTTCACCAGGCACTTAAGGTGTGGAAAAGGCTTGCGAGGAGAGAGAATGGTGCCTACAGAGAGAGGTCCAAATGGTGGAAAAAAACAGGTAGAGTCAGGAAATGGCATTTCAGGAAGTCTAGAGCAGTAGAAGATGAGGCCAGAACACGGTGCCACAGCCCTTCTCTGCACCCTGTATACACCCTGTACCACAGAACCTCACTCTGCATTTAATTCTTGGTTTCTAGTTCTCTCTTCCATTAAACTGTGAGCCCCTCAAGGTCAAGGTCTATAAGAAGAAATCACAGCTACAGTTCTCTAAATTTGAAAACAAGTTATTAAACACAGATACACCCAAAAAGACTGTACAAAAATAATGTTGGATTTCAACTGCAGTCATAGGAATTCACAACTGGTATACATTTGCAATCTGTCCAGGATTTTTCTCTGATGACTGCTGTAACACTGTCATAAATCCTTTTGTTTTAGACACCAAGACATTTGTTAGAATGTCTCAGAAAGACATTCTAAAAGAGCAAGAAATATCTTCATCTTTTTTGTGTAACTGATTGATTGGTTGATTGACTGAGATGGGATCTCATTATGTAGCCCAGGCTGGTCTGAAACTCCTAGATTCAAGCAATCCTCCTGCCTCAGCCTCACAAGTGGCTGAGATTACAGGCACACACCACCACCGCGGGCTCTAGTGTGATGTATTAACAAAGCCTAAACATACAGTCCATTAGACAAGGCTTCCACCTCAGAGTAAAGATTTTTTTAAATTCACTCTAATAGACTTATTTCTCTATATGCAAGATACAATTTTACCATAGTAAAACACAAAGAAGCATATTGATATACACATATGTTACAAACAGGATTAAAAAAGTCATATAATTTTCTCCACAAAAGCTTGCAAAATCCTGGCCAAAACATGGTAAACAGGATGTTAAACTCACAGCTTAAATTTCCCCACTGAGACCTAGGAAAAACAATGCCAGTTTCTGTACAGTCACGAAACTAAGCCCTGTGAGAATTTAAAAGATTTGGTAAACTTGTATATTCTCCCCACCCCCATACACAAGAAGCCAAAAGAGCCTAGCAGTCTTACCCCAATGCTTCAATTTCCTCCAGCCTCCAAAACAAAACCCTCACTGTCCAACATCTGAATTTATATTTTCAAACGTCTAAAATCTTAATCAAAACTAAGAGCGGTGCATTAGCTTTGCCCCCATAAAATTCTTGGTATAATTTTACTTAGGCACAACACAGATTGTACTATTACTTGAAAACATGGATAGAACCAACATTACTAGAAACCAAACGAATGTATTATGAAGGTGAAAGGGAATAGGGAGTGTTGTTTTTGAACAGATTCAACGCTGTTATTCTCCACTCATAGGTTGGGTGTGATCACATCACATCCTGCTGTACAACTAAGTATGTCCTATATTTTATGACAAAGTAGGGTAACAAATTATTTATTGAGGACCTGTTGTGTACACAGAGGCATGCTAGAAGCTGTAAAAGACTTGATTCTTGCTCTCAAGAAACTTCCAAGGTTGTAGACAGCCTAATAGAATGTAGTCAAAAGCAAATACTTCAAGCACTACCCATCACAATTACCTCAGGTATTTACTTTACCCTTCTACAAGTCTCTGAATATTTTGAGGCCCCCTTTCCTATCTCTGTGGACTCTATGGCTCAACATTCTTCACAACCACAGGCTTTCCTGGACTTCATGTTGTTATTGAATCAGCATTTCTCATTACCTGCCTCATTTGCCAATTAAAATTCCACTTTATATTCAACCACCATTTTGGCTTTGAAGCCACTGCCTGATACTGACACTTCGGAGATGTAGTATGACTATTCTTATATGTCTCTCTCTACTGATGAGGATCCTCTTTTAGTATGAACAGTACCATTGACTTCCAACCAAGTAGTTTTGATAATATCTGAAATATTGAATCATATTTCATAATACTCCTAAAACAAATAATGAGTGGTGTTCTCTCAAATATATGTATAATCAAATGTGAAACTGAGAAGATTGGTAGGACCTGAGACTCAGAGATTGTATTCAAGACTTTATAGTGGCATTTATTTGACATAATTATGCATTTAAAAAATAAGTTAAACTGTCATCAGATCAGTTTGAAAATTATAGAGGCTTTTGTTGGTGAGAAACGTATTTTATATATAACCATTTACTCATAGAAATATTTTTGATTAATGCTATCTGTTAAAGACTTCAGTTCACAATATTTCACCTGTTCACAGTATATATCTTTTGGGAGCTTTCCTGGAGAAGCCGAGGACCACGTGCTAATTGCTATCTGATGTTATTCTGGGAGGACAACTGATTGTCTTTGGGTTGCAGGGGGTTGGAACTTGAAGGCGGATCTGAGTCTAGAGATCTTGCCACTGACTTTGGGAAGTCTGTTGATTCTACCTTTGGAAGTGCCTTTAAATGCCTTATTAGGAAAGCCAGGCATAGTGGCTCACACCTGTAATCCCAGCACCTTGGGATTATTGATTAATAAATCAATTTCGGAAATGCTTGGTAAATTCAACAGGACTTCACAGAACAATGAATTTATATGGCCATTTTTTTTTTTTTTTTTTTTTTTCAAAGAGCATTCACAAGACTTTCTAGTACACCAGTTTGGGAACTGTTGGTGGAGGAATCAGGGTAATTAGGATTTGGACTATTCCAGGTAGAGGTTGTCACTATATTCAACGAATTGTTCTTAGGCTTTACTCTTTGTATATATCAGAATTACCCATAGCAAATTAACAAGCAGATATATAAGAATTGGGCCCTGGCTCAGGCCTAACAAATCAGAACATCTGAAAAGTATGGGTGTGGAAAAGCTTCTAGATAATTCCATGTTCTCCAGAGACTGAAAACCACTCAATTACAATAGGTCTTCTCGCCCCTTGCTAACTAAATTGTTAATCCTAGTTGAGTATGCTTCTGTTTTGTTTTTTTGGGCCTGGTCCAGGGACTAGACTGTTGCTGCAATTAAGTTCAATTTTATCATTCTTCCCACAATATCTGTATCCCGATTTTCAGATTCCTTTTCATCAGTGGGGCAAATTTATAGGTCAGTATAGGACAAGTTTTAAACATTAATGGAAAAGAGATTATATTATATTGATATTGTTCTTCTAATCTGGCAGCCTTGAATTTCATTTAGAAAATGTCTCTATTTCTAATTTTACCTTGGTTTTGATATATTTTACTATTAGGGATCACATAAATGATTTTCCTCTTTTTCATGACTTCCTTGTCAACTAATATATTTTTGAAAGCTTCTGGTTAACTTCTAATTACAGGTAAGTGCCATTTTCCTTTTGCTTAACAGGCTCATTGAGGTTTTTAATTGAGATGAAATCTCACTCTGTCACCCAGGTTGGAGTGCAATGGGGTGATCTCGGCTCACTGCAACCTCCACCTCCCAGATTCAAGTGACTCTCATGCCTCAGCCTCCCCAGCAACTGGGATTACAGACACCTGCCACCACGCCCAGCTAATTTTTTTTGCATTTTTAGTAGAGATAGGGTTCCACCATGTTGTCTAGGCTGGTCTCAAACTCCTGACCTCATGTAATCCACCCAACTTGGCCTCCCAAAGTGCTGGGATTACAGGTGTGAGCCACCATGCCTGGCCACTTCTCCCATTTTATACAGGGTCGCCTTTTGCAACTTCTAAGAGCTCTTTAAAATAGTAAAGCCCTGCCATAATGCAGCCAAAAAACTAAGATATAAAATGTGTAGAAACACGCTTTTCTTAACTTAATGAAAAAGTATTTTTCAATCAGTCCGTATTTTCACTAAAAGGACAAAAATAAAAGATTCAGAAACAAACTGTATATACAAAGTACATATACCCTGAAGCTCCCAAATGATTGTGAAGCAGTCACTTCCAAACCCTACTGCCCACCACCCAGAACATGAAGAGAAAATAAGAATGTTGGCCTTTCCCATTCTCAATTATCAGTAGCAAGGTACTCAAAGCCCAGCTTAAAGAAATGTTTCTGAGCATAAATGCTCATCAGGAATTAAGTCTATAGCATGAACTCAATTTGGCAAAACTTCGAAGTACATATAACTTTTAACTTACTAGGGTATACAGACCAATAATTAATTTACAACTGCAGACATATTTGCCTACAGTAAATATAACAAAGACTAAACAAGCAGATACTAAATCATGAAGCAATTATCAGTTAGTATCTTTAATTTTCTTATACTTTTATATTTTCTATAGATCATCTTTTCAACAAGAAGAAAACAAACCAAATGAAAATGAAATGAATTCTCTCAAAAAGAACTAAGTCAAGACAGGAGGAAGGCTCACAAAGTAATATAAAATATATCTTATGGTCTCTGTAAAATTCTTAATAAAAGTAACTTCTTTGCTCCAAGCTGCACTCTGGCTTTGCCTTTGAGTCAGGTGGCATTTCTTTGCACAATGACCGATTCTATTGAGTAGGCACTGCTTCAGCCCTACAGGAAGAACAAAACTTCTCTAGAACACAGCAGCATTCCTGATTTCCACTTGAGAAGGCCTAACGAAAAGGCATATATCTCAACAGCGGCAGATCAGTGTGAAAAGGTCTGGAGTCAAGGGGAAAAAGTAAAATTGGACCATTTCCAGAATCTCACAAAAAACAACAAACCAATGTTGGCAGTGCCCAACATAAGCAAATTAGAACCTTAAATAAAGGTCACTCTTAATGTCTATCCTAGCATAGACCCAGCACCAAGCAAAATGTCATTTTACTGGTTTACTTTTTTCATTCTTGAAAGTAGGAGCTATGAAAAAAAACCACTAAAATTTCTTTAAGAGAACCTTCTACTTACAATCTAACTTACATAATCAAAACACTCTATTCAGGGTGAAAATTGAGTATTATAAGAAAATAATCACCTGTTTTGTGCGGCGTTCCATACATAACGCTCCTCCACCCAATACATACCTTAAAAAGAAAAAAGGAAACATACAAATTTATCTCAAGAATTATCCTTGCTTAAACAATTTCTACGTGCCATTACTAAGGAAGTATACACACGGTAAAGATAAGAAGAGAACTCACAAACATGAACATACTTGTTAGGGATATAGGATTATGGGTAATTTAAAAATTCTAATGGTATTACTGTCATGTAATTGCTCTGAAATTCTAGTCAATTGTTTGAAATGACTCTTAGAACAAATACAAATTTTTAAGATGTTGAAAACTAAGAACTTAGCCCTAAATATTCCAAAGAATAGGGGCAGAAGAACCCGTTTCCTTAAATGGCATTTAAGTATTCTTTACAACTGAAACTTTCTCTCCCATCCTGTGATGGCCAAGAGTTGTTCCTCTGACAATGGCACTGACCTTCCCCTATCCAAAATATGAACATCTGCATGGTATCATGGTTCAAATTGTTTTCATCCATTCTGTTGTGAGAATCAAATGGTTCAGACCATGCAGCTCCTCTCTGGGACTCCTCAAGTCCTTTCCAGGTCTGAAGACTATTTTCTGAACCAAAGACATCTTTTGGGGATGTACCAAATCTCCCATTAGAAAATGATTTAGAGCAAGATGTTTCAACCTTTTAACTCTTTCTCAAACAAAATAACTTCATTTCTCCTTTAATGTTATTTTGAATTTCAAAATACACAGATAGCATGCCTAAAATAAAATCAAGGGAATGACAGTTTTATCACACAAACTGTGGTAATTTTGAAAACACAAAAGCTAAGTCCACTCATTAGGTCTATGTGGACACCAAGTCCAACACAATCTGTTCTTTCCTCTGGGGCTCTGCCCATGCCTTTCCCTTGCCTGAGATTCCTTCGGCTTCCTACCCTTCCAAAGGTTGTATTTCCCCCCAGAAGACTTGCCAAGACCACTCTAGCCTGCACATCTTCCATTCCAGCTAACCAAAGGCACACTTGTGTTAACTAAACCAAATTATTTTGCAGAGAAGGCATCTAAAAACTTCTACTGTAGACCATTCACCTTAATAATTGTTATCGTGACTTTATTCAATAATAAAATGAGGGAAAGAAGTCCTCTTCACTCCCTTATCCTGGAGAATCCAAGCAAGTGTCTTTCCCACTTGTTTTGCTCAAACCCTGGGACCTTTCAAAGTAAAAGTTTAATGGAAGGAAAGAAAATCTAAAAGATAAATTCTCCAAAAAATTAAACTTGGGTGAAGAATCATGGGATTAAAAATTTTTATTCTTTGTGTATTTGGTTTCTGAAACATAGAAATCTATCTCTCATTCCTTAAATCTGCCACTGGGCTAACAGAGTATTGTATAGAATATGCACTCACTGATTTAACAGAACATCCAGGCACTCACTGAAATTTTGCTTCCACAACTGCTCAAAGTCTAGTCATTAGTTAATGAGTTAACACCACACTTGATCTTCAAATTTTGGAAATGCTGACGGTAGACAGGGACTTGTTTTAGGAAAAGGAAGTATACAATAGACATTGTTACTCATTACCCAACCACCACCACCTTTCCTTTAAAGTACCCCACTCTTCCGTTAAGGTTGCAGAGTCTCAGAAAGTGGGAAGAAATGAAGTTTTTGCATTTTCAGGTCAAAAGAAAGTACATTTGTACAACCACATAATAACTATGCAAAGATTTGTTGAAATCTAAAAAGCCAGTCACAAAATGTCACGTTTTGGATGATTCTATTTATAGGAAACGTCCAGAATAAGCAAATCTACAGAGACAGAAACTAGATCAGAGGTTGTCAGGATCAACAGTGGGGGAGACAAGTATAGGGAGTGACTGCTAATGGATACGGGGTTTCTTCTTTTTTTGCTTTTTTTCATTTATTTTTATTATTATTATACTTTAAGTTCTAGGGTACATGTGCACAACGTGCAGGTTTGTTACATATGTATACATGTGCCATGTTGGTGTGCTGCATCCATTAACTCGTCATTTACATTAGGTATATCTCCTAATGCTATCCCTCCCCACTTCCCCCTCCCCACAATAGGCCCCGGTGTGTGATGTTTCCCTTCCCGTGTCCAAATGAACTCATTGTCCAATTCCCACCTATGAGTGAGAACATGCGGTGTTCGGTTTTCTGTTCTTGTGATAGTTTGCTGAGAATGATGGTTTCCAGCTGTATCCATGTCCCTACAAAGGACACGAACTCATCCTTTTTTATGGCTGCATAGTATTCCATGGTGTATATGTGCCACATTTTCTTAATCCAGTCTCTCATTGATGGACATTTGGGTTGACTCCAAGTCTTTGCTATTGTTGCAGCAATAAACATACATGTGCATGTGTCTTTATAGCAGCATGATTTATAATCCTTTGGGTATATACCCAGTAATGGGATGGCTAGGTCAAATGGTATTTCTAGTTCTAGACACTTGCAGAATCGCCACACTGTCTTCCACAATGGTTGAACTAGTTTACAGTCCCACCAACAGTGTAAAAGTGTTTCTATTTCTCCACATCCTCTCCAGCACCTGTTGTTTCCTGACTTTTTAATGATTGCCATTCTAACTGATGTGAGATGGTATCTCATTGTGGTTTTGATTTGCATTTCTCTGATGGTGAGTGATGATGAGCATTTTTCATGTGTCTGTTGGCTGTATAAATGTCTTCTTTTGAGAAATGTCTGTTCATATGCTTTGGCCACTTTTTGATGGGGTTGTTTGTTTTTTTCTTGTAAATTTGTTTGAGTTCTTTGTAGGTTCTAGATATTAGCCCTTTGTCAGATGAGTAGATTGCAAAAATGTTCTCCCATTCTGTAGGTTGCCTGTTCACTCTGATGGTAGTTTCTTTTGCTGTGCAGAAGCTCTTTAGTTTAATTAGATCCCATTTGTCAATTTTGGCTTTTGCTGCCATTGCTTTTGGTGTTTTAGACATGAAGTCCTTGCCCATGCCTATGTCCTGAATGGTATTACCTAGGTTTTCTTCTAGGGTTTTTATGGTTTTAAGTCTAACATTTAAGTCTCTAATCCATCTTGAATTAATTTTCGTATAAGGAGTAAGGAAAGGATCCAGTTTCAGCTTTCTACTTTTGGCTAGCCAATTTTCCCAGCACCATTTATTAAACAGGGAATCCTTTCCCCATTTCTTGTTTTTGTCAGGTTTGTCAAAAATCAGATGGATGTAGATGTGTGGTATTATATCTGAGGGCTCTGTTCTGTCCCATTGGTCTATATCTCTGTTTTGGTACCAGTACCATGCTGTTTTGGTTACTGTAGCCTTGTAGTATAGTTTGAAGTCAAGTAGCGTGATGCCTCCAGCTTTGTTCTTTTGGTTTAGGATTGTCTTGGCAATGCAGGCTCTTTTTTGGTTCCATATGAACTTTAAAGCAGTTTTTTCCAATTCTGTGAAGAAAGTCATTGGTAAATTAATGGGGATGGCACTGAATCTATAAATTTCCTTGGGCAGTATGGCTATTTTCACGATATTGATTCTTCCTATCCATGAGCATGGTATGTTATTCCATTTGTTTGTGTCCTCTTTTATTTCACTGGGCAGTGGTTTGTAGTTCTCCTTGAAGAGGTCCTTCACATCCCTTGTAAGTTGGATTCCTAGGTATTTGATTCTCTTTGAAGCAATGGTGAATGGGAGTTCTTTCATGATTTATCTCTGTTTGTCTGTTATTGGTGTATAAGAATGCTTGTGATTTTTGCACCTTGATTTTGTATCCTGAGACTTTGCTGAAGTTGCTTATCAGTTTAAGGAGATTTTGGGCTGAGATGATGGGGTTTTCTAAATATACAATCATGTCATCTGCAAACAGGGACAATTTGACTTCTTCTTTTCCTAATTGATTACCCTTTATTTATTTCTCTTGCCTGACTGCCCTAGCCAGAACTTCCAACACTATGTTGAATAGGAGTGGTGAGAGAGGGCATCCCTGTCTTGTGCCAGTTTTCAAAGGGAAAGCTTCCAGTTTTTGCCCATTCAGTATGATATTGGCTGTGGGTTTGTCATAAATAGCTCTTATTATTTTGAGATACGTTCCATCAATACCGAATTTATTGAGCGTTTTTAGCATGAAGGGCTGTTGAATTTTGTCAAAGGCCTTTTCTGCATCTATGGAGATAATCGTGTGGTTTTTGTCTTTGGTTCTGTTTATATGCTGGATTACGTTTATTGATTTGCATATGTTGAACCAGCCTTGCATCCCAGGGATGAAGCCCACTTGATCATGGTGGATAAGTTTTTTGATGTGCTGCTGGATTCGGTGTGCCAGTATTTTATTGAGGATTTTTGCATCGATGTTCATCAGGGATATTGGTCTAAAATTCTCTTTTTTTGTTGTGTCTCCACCAGGCTTCGGTATCAGGATGATGTTGGTCTTATAAAATGAGTTAGGGAGGATTCTCTCTTTTTCTATTGATTGGAATAGTTTCAGAAGGAATGGTACCAGCTCCTCCTTGTACCTCTGGTAGAACTTGGCTGTGAATCCGTCTGGTCCTGGACTTTTTTTGGTTGGTAGGCTATTAATTTGTGCCTCAATTTCAGAGCCTACTATTGGTCTATTCAACTTCTTCCTGGTTTAGTCTTGGAAGAGTGTATGTCCAGGAATATATCCATTTCTTCTAGGTTTTCTAGTTTATTTGCATAGAGGTGTTTATAGTATTCTCTGATGGTAGTTTGTATTTCTGCGGGGTCGGGGGTGATATCCCCTTTATCATTTTTTATTGCATCTATTTGATTCTTCTCTCTTTTCTTTTTTATTAGTCTTACTAGCGGTCTATCAATTTTGTTGATCTTTTCAACAAACCAGCTCCTGGATTCATTGATTTTTTGAAGGGTTTTTTGGTGTCTCTATCTCCTTCAGTTCTGCTCTGACCTTAGTTATTTCTTGCTGTCTACTACCTTTTGAATGTGTTTGCTCTTGCTTCTCTAGTTCGTTGAATTGTGATGTTAGGGTGCCAATTTTAGAACTTTCGTGCTTTCTCTTGTGGGCATTTAGTGCTATAAATTTCCCTCTACACACTGCTGTAAATGTGTCCCAGAGATTCTGGTATGTTGTATCTTTGTTCTCATTGGTTTCAAAGAAAATCTTTATTTCTGCCTTCATTTCGTTATGTACCCAGTAGTTATTTGGGAGCAGGTTGTTCAGTCTCCATGTAGTTGAGTGGTTTTGATTGAGTTTCTTAGTCCTGACTTCTAGTTTGATGGCACTGTGGTCTGAGAGAGTTTGTTATAATCTCTGTTCTTTTACATTTGCTGAGGAGTGCTTTACTTCCAACTATGTGGTCAATTTTGAAGTAAGTGTGATGTGGTGCTGAGAAGAATGTATATTCTGTTGATTTGGGGTGGAGAGTTCTGTAGATGTCTATTAGGTGTGTTTGTTGCAGAGTTGAGTTCAATTCCTGGATATCCTTGTTGACTCTCTGTCTCGTTGATCTGTCTAATGTTGACAGCGGGGTGTTAAAGTTTCCCATTATTATTGTATGGGAGTCTAAGTCTCTTTGTAAGTCTCTAAGGACTTGCTTTATGAATCTGGGTACTGCTGTATTGGGTGCATATATATTTAGGATAGTTCGCTCTTCTTGTTGAATTCATCTCTTTACCATTATGTAATGGCCTTCTTTGTCTCTTTTGATCTTTGTTGGTTTAAAGTCTGTTTTATCAGAGACTAGGATTGCAACCCCTGCCTTTTTTTGTTTTCCATTTGCTTGGTAGATCTTCCTCCATCCCTTTATTTTGAGCCTATGTGTGTCTCTGCATGTGAGATCGGTCTCCTGAATACAGCAAATTGATGGGTCTTGACTCTATCCAATTTGCCAGTCTGTGTCTTTTAATTGTACCATTTAGTCTATTTACATTTAAGGTTAATATTGTTATGTGTGAACTTGATCCTATCATTATGATATTAACTGGTTATTTTGCTTGTTAGTTGATGCAGTTTCTTCCTAGCATGGATGGTCTTTACATTTTGGCATGTTTTTGCAATGGCTGGTACCGGTTATTCCTTTCTATGTTTACTGCTTCCACCAGGATCTCTTGTAGGGCAGGCCTGGTGGTGACAAAATCTCTAAGCATTTGCTTTTCTGTAAAGGATTTTATTTCTCCTTCACTTATGAAACTTAATTTGGCCGGATATGAAATTCTGGGTTTAAAATTCTTTTCTTTAAGAATGTTGAATATTGGCCCCCACTCTCTTCTGGCTTGGAGAGTTTCTGCCGAGAGACCTCATGTTAGTCTGATGGGCTTCCCTTTGTGGGTAATCCGACCTTTCTCTCTGGTTGCCCTTAACATTTTTTCCTTCAGTTCAACTTTGGTGAATCTGACAATTATGTGTCTTGGAGTTGCTCTTCTCGAGGAGTATCTTTGTGGTGTTCTCTGTATTTCCTGAGTTTGAATGTTGGCCTGCCTTGCTAGGTTGGGGAAGTTCTCCTGGATGATATCCTGCAGAGTGTTTTCCAACTTGGTTCCATTCTCCCCATCACTTTCAGGCACACCAATCAGACATTGATTTAGTCTTTTCATATAATCCCATCTTTCTTGGAGGCTTTATTCATTTCTTTTTACTCTTTTTTCTCTAAACCTCTCTTCTCGCTTCATTTCATTCATTTGATCTTCAATCACTGATACTCTTTCTTCCAGTTGATCGAGTCGGTTACTGAAGCTTGTGCATTTGTCACGTATTTCTCGTGTCATGGTTTTCATCTCTATCAGTTCGTTTATGGATTTCTCTGCATTGGTTATTCTAGTTATCCATTCTTCCATTCTTTTTTCAAGGTTTTGAGTTTCTTTGTGCTGGGTACATAGTTCCTCCTTTAGCTCTGAGAAGTTTGATCGACTGAAGCCTTCTTCTCTCAACTTGTCAAAGTCCTTCTCGGTCCAGCATTGTTCCATTGCTGGCGATGAGCTGCATTCCTTTGGAGGGGGAGATGCGCTCTGATTTTTTGAATTTCCAGTTTTTCTGCACTCCTTTTTCTCAACTTTGTGGTTTTATCTGCCTTTGATCTTTGATGATGGTGACGTACTGATGGGATTTTGGTGTGGGTGTCCTTTCTGTTTGTTAATTTTCCTTCTAACAATCAGGACCCTCAGCTGCAGGTCTGTTGGAGTTTGTGTGAGGTCCACTCCAGACACTGTTTGCCTGGGTATCAGCAGCAGAGGCTGCAGAAGATAGAATATTGCTGAACAGCAAGTGTTGCTGTCTGATTCTTGCTCTGGAAGCTTCGTCTCAGAGGTGTACCCAGCCGTGTGAAGTGTGAGGTGTTAGTCTGCACCTAGTGGGGGATGTCTCCCAGTTAGGCTACTCAGGGATCAAGGACCCACTTGAGCAAGCAGTCTGTCCATTCTTAGATCTCAACCTCCATGCTGGGAGAACTACTGCTCTCTTCAAAGCTGTCAGACAGGGACATTTTGGTATGGGATTTCTTTTTGGGGAGGTGAAAATGTTCTGAAATTAGTTAGTGGTAATGGTTGCATAATTCTGAATATACTAAAAACCACTAAACTGTACACTTGAAGGCTGAGGCTTATCATATAAAAACTGTATCACAATAAAGCTGTCAGTTTAAAAAATGTTAGCCTATGTCAAGAAATAAAGAAATAGGATCATAGCTAGAAGATATGGGATATAAAACACATGGAACAATACTGCTCAATAATCTATCTAGAATCACACAATGCTTAAGCTTTACCCTGACTAAAATTGCAAGCTTTGTGTCTTATCGGTATTTCACATTTTTTACTTCTTCCTAAGTCAGCCAATAATTCTTCCTCCTCACTTAATAGTTGACTACAAAGACCAAGCCATTTTGATTCTGCCACCAATAAGCCTTCAAATTTCATTCCTCTTTCCATTTCTATGACTACCAAGCCATTGTAGGTTCTCCTCACTTCACTCTAAGACAACAGCATGACCCTCAACTACTATCACACTTTTCTAGGCTCTGTGAGGACAATGTGTCTCATATCCTCTTCTGCTGTCACCAGATTTATTCCAAAATGGTATATTTACTGCTACTCCCTTATTTCTCAACCAGATACATAGAAAGATAAATATCCAGGGGTACTAGTTTATTACCAGAAAAAAGAAAGATATGTCACCAATCCACAGAACTGTTTGAGCACAAGATATTACGTCAGCACTATTTCCTACAAATCTTCTACATGAATCCTACCCTCCTTGTGTTATGGCTCAAACTGGTCTCGTACACTCTGAATCCCTCATTCTCTTTCCTAGATACCTGATTGTGTTTACCTTTCACCTACGTAAATAATTTTCCTTCAGCCTCCACAAGCTGACCAAACCCAACTCAAATTTCACTGCCCAGCTGGGATCCCACCTACTTCATGAAGAACAACCCTTTGCAGCTTTAAACCTCAGACAAATTAAGTCCATGCTTAGCTTTTCTTTTTCTTTCTTTTTAGATGGAGTTTATCTTTGTCACCCAGGCCGGAGTGCAGTGGCGCAATCTCGACTCGCTGCAACCTCTGCCTCCCGAGTTCAAGCAATTCTCCTGTCCCAGCCTCCCGAGTAGCTGGGATTACAGGTACGCACCACCACATCTGGCTAATTTTTTGTATTTTTGGTGGAGATGGGGTTTTACCATCTTGGCCAGGCTGGTCTTGAACTCCTGACCCAAAGTGCTGGGATTACAGGTGTGAACCACCGTGCCTGGCCCATGGTTAGCATTTGATAATCAATGGAGTACTCAGAGTACTTAGTACTTTTAATCTCCTCTTATATAGCTGGCATTTGGTATCATGAAAAACACTTTACTAGGAATCAGAAGATTTATTTGGGTAGGTCACAAGCTGACTTATTATTCAAATTATTCATCCAAATAATAAGGACCATAACACACTGTGGCAAAAAACAATCAATGAAGAAACCATGGAACAGATTTTAAAACTAAAAATGGCATGATTCATAACTTCATGCATTTGTCTCGCTTCCAGGTGGTATACTAAGATCGCAAACTTACATTCTTGGGATTCTTACAACAAAAAGTTGAAAAGCTATGCTGATCCATTTTATAATCACAGTTTTAAATGTTTTCATACATTTATCCTGAATTTACAGATTTTTGTCCAAATATTTTCCTTGATCTTTTTTTTCTCTCAAATAAGATTCTGAACAAAAAATAACCTGTCTTCCTTTTCCCATGCTTATGGGAATACTGAGTCAACATACACAATTTTATAAACCACCACATAAACTGAAGCACAATACTTATGTCTTTTCTCCCCAGTCAGTAAGGGCTTCATTAAAAAGACATTTTGACATTCACCTATGAAAAACAAAAGAACTATGGCCTGGTAACAAGTAAAAGGCTGGTGTGGTGAGCAAGAGACACAAAGGTTAAACGTTTAGTATTTTTCAGCCTTGTGTTTATTTTGTATACGTAAGTATTTGGTTGGGTTACCCAACATTCAACTTCCAAAACTGACCATGAGGTTTTACATCAAGAGAAGTACTTTTTATAGCAATTTTACTGCCTAAACCAAAACAGTCTAGAGAAGCTCTAAAGGTAACAAAATAAAACAGTACACAATTCTAAACAACTCTGCTTCACACCCAACCTGGGACTGCGACTCACCGTAATAGTATATTTGTGATCAACTTTGTAACAACCTGTCAAAAGGAGACCTGCAACATCTGCCCACTAAAAGGTCACTTCAGCATTTTCTCCTCTGCAGAAGAAAACACATGGGAATCACTCAGAACTCTGGATTTCCAACAGAGCAGCATTTCCCAGAGAGTAAGCCAGAGGACACCATCCTCTGAGATGCTGTCAGGAACATTATTAAACAAATTTGGGAAAAATAGAAAATAGCATTAAGGTTCCAAGAAGTCCTTTGGTAAAAGACATTTTGAACCTGGCTTCCCCCAAACCTTGAAATCCCCACAAAACAAATATACATTAACATACCACTATATTGGCACTCACAGAACATTTTGGGAGATATGGCAAAGATTAGGCTGCAGGTGTCAGGTAAGTGAACTCTTTAAAAACAATATTGAGAAAAACAGAAATTTAAAAATTAAAAGAAAAACAGAAAAGCAAAAGAGAAGTAAATAAATAAAAAAATTTTAACAAACAATATTGGGTCGGGTAAAGTTGCTGAGACCCATAATCCTAATACATTGTGAGTCTGAGCGGGATGGATCGCTTTAGCCCAGGAATTCGAGACCAACATGGGCAACATGGTAAAACCCTGTCTCTATCAAAAATACAAAAATTAGCTGGGCATGGTGGCATATGCCTGTGGTCCCAGCTACTCAGGAGGAGGAGGTGGGAGGATGGCTTGGGCCTGGGAGGCAGAGGTTCCAGTGACCTGTGATTGTACCACTCACTTCAGCCTGGGCAACACAGCAAGACTCTGCCTCAATGAATGAATGAATGAATGAATGAATAAAACAATATTACTTTACTGTGTGGTAGAACTCAAAATGAACTCAGCACATCCATATGTAATACTAAGGGTTTAAAAAAAGGAAAAAACACTTTTTGTCTCTCTGAGCTTTTACAGATGGATATAATGTCCAGATAACTATTCTGTAGCATCAACATCACAGTTAATACATATTCTGATTACACAGAAATGATTCTTGATGTTAGCCCCCAAAACACATATATAAGCATGTAAAGCAAATACAACTAAAAATAACTGTGGGAACAAAGCTCTTCTGGAGAAAGTTCTGAAGTCTGAAATAGTCACTCATATTTTTACCATAAATGCAACTATTACTATCTCAACCATAGAAATCATCAAAAAGTAAGGGCTGGATATATTTAGATTTTAATCACCATAATGTAGATTATGTCACATAATAGAATTAGTCAACTGAGTGTTTCAAAACCCTCAAGTTACTTTAAATTGCTCATACTCTGAGGGTCTACAGAACATTTCACAACTAACCTAGCAAACTGCGATCTTTTCCCCACTTCTGTAAGACTTCCAACCACAAAAAAGAAGCAATACAAACTTCAGTAAAACTGCAAGACAATTACCATTGGATTCTACTAAACTGCAATTATCACCTCTAGAAGTAATTAGCCAGCTCCTTACATCTATGAGATTTCCCATAATGATTCCTAGAGGTATTATTAGGATCACAGGCATGTGGGGACCACTCTGTAATCATAACATTCTCTAAACCCCCAATCACAATTTACATTTGAAAAACACTCAGTTTTTATGACAAAAAAAGTATGTGTTTATATATACGTGTGTGTGTGTGTATGTATATGTGTGTGTGTGTGTGTATATATATATATATGAGTCACTAAAAACTCTACCTATCAGCAACATAATGCTTTATAATGGTTCCAGATGTGGGCCCCAGATCAATAGCATCAACTTCACCTGGTAACTTCTAAAAAATGTAAATGGTCAGGTCCCACCACAGACCTACTGAATCAGAAACCCTGGGACTAGCTCTCCACATGAATTCTGGTGTACACTATGTTAAAAAATAATAATAAGTAAACCAGGCACAGCAGCTCACGCCTGTCATCCCAGCACTTTGGGAGGGCAAGGTGGGAGGATTGCTTGAGCCCAGCAGTTCAAGAACAGCCAGGGCAACATAGTGATACCTCATCTCTATAAAAAAATAAAAATAAATAAATAAATAAAAATAATCACTTACACTTACCCTCCTGAGAGAACAGGTAACACCACTCAAACAAATGGAGGATCAACTGGAAAGTTATCCTAAAAAGCAAATAAGTAAGTTTAATTAATTTTAAGAACATCCTTAATGTTATACTATTTAGAAGATTTTAAAAGAATCTATAAAAGAATATGTACATTTATTATCAGATAAAGGGTGAGAGTCATAAAGGTAAACTTAGTACCAAAAACCAAATGAAATGAAAACCAAAGCAAATAAAAATGAAGTTAAAATCAGGCCCAAACAGAACAGTGTTATTGTAAACTTATGAAACACATGAAGGGGTTCCACTTCAATAGAACTATATAAAGGAACCATTCCAATAAGGATAGACTAGATAATTTAGATCAATCTTCTGACTAAGAACTAGAGAGGTGGACAAAACATAATGATTACAGGGCTGAGAAAAGGGAACACCAGAGAACAAGGTCTTCTTTTTCCCCCTTGGGTTTTCTTCCAATGACAGAAGAGACAAGGAAGAGGTTAAAAAGTTGAGCTAGAACACACAGCCTCACAGAGCTCACAGGGAGATAAACACTGGAGCTCAGCGTCCACCGAGGAGGGGCCCTGCTAAGTCTCCCGCTCCTTAGGTTGGGATCCTGAAGAACCAACTGCAAATTGCCCTAACAGAGAATGATGGCCAGCTTTAATCATCTCAATCCTTGATTGGATGAGACAATCCCAGGTTGCTAATTTCCAAGCCCCTGGCAGGGGCAAATGTAAATCCTCTCTGGAGAAGAATATCATCCAAGGCTTCAAATTAGTTCTACAATTTTTCATATATAATGTCTATCACTAAAAATAAAAAGCCACATGAGACTGAAAGATGACATAATAGAAAACAAGAGAAGTAAACAACAGACACAAAACCACAAGGAATTGAGATAACAGACTTTGCAGACACACTTTAAAATAACTCTGCTGAACATGATCAAGGAAAGACAGGACAAGACTGAAAACCTGGCAGAGAAATGCAAATTATAAAAATGAACCATATGAAATTCTGCAATTTAGAACTATCACAACCGAAATTAATAACTTAATGGATAAGTTTAACCACAGCAGTAACCTAGCAGAAGAGAGAGTCAATAAACTGGAAAAAGGTCAGAAAGACAAAAAGGTAGAAAATAGAGAAAACAAAAGGCAACATATTGAAAAGTTTATAACATACGTAGAGCCCTGGAAGAAAAAAAAGAATGGGACAGAAGCAATAGCTGAAGATACGGTTGTGGAGAATCTTCCAAAACTGATCAATGACTTCACAAGATTTAACCACCATAAACACTTCAAGAGAAACAACGGAAGCTAGCATAAGAGAATGATATTTTCAAGGTGCTGATAAAGGAAACTGCCAACCTAGAAACTTACACTTAATGAAAACACTCTTCAATAATAAAAAATAAAGGAATTTTTCTATCTGCAGACTCACACTAAAGGAAGTATTAAAGGATAGTTTCAGAGGAGAAAGAGGATCCTCGATGAAAATGTGGAGACTACAGAGCATGAAAAAGAGCAAATATGCATGTAGATCTAAGTGAATATTGACTAATTATATAATTATGTGTAGGGTTTTAGATAGTATAGACTTGAAATGTATGAAAACAGTAGCACATATTTGGGAGGAAGGACATGAACTCAGTGTGCTAAGGTCCTTGTATTGACAAGGAAAAGGAAAAAAAATATGAATCTACAAGTTTATGTTAGACTTTCACACATCAAGGACATATTGTAACTATAGGGTAATGAAGAAGAATAAGAACTATGCTGACAGAGGTAGAAAACCAGAGTCATCAAAAAGTCTAAAAGAAAGACAACATGGAGCACAAAGCAAGAAAAACTAATAGGAATGGCTCATCGATAAGATGGTAGACTCGAATCCAAGTATCAGCAATAACTAATTGGCCTAATTAAAAGACAAACATCATCAGACTTGATAAAAGTATATGAAGAGAGGAAGATGAGACAGAAAATGAAAGAGGAAATCTTTTTCTAACTTACAATAGAAATGTAAGATTATCCACAACATACCAACTTAATGACACAAGATACCAACTTAATGATCGCTACTATAGTCTACTTTCAAATAAAGTAGCTCACCTTTTATCTATAATTTAACAGACATAATGAAAAGTATACAGGTTGATGTAAAGCTTGGTAAAGTACAACTTCATTTAACCTCCTATTATTTAGATCTTTAAATATGTGAATCCCTAAAGAGTGACTATAAAACCCCTTAATTGATTATGGGTGATTGAATTTATTTTAAACAGTTCAGAATAACTCTTCTACATCAAAACCTGGGGACTCTATTCCATAAACTGTATCCTGGACCTCAGGAATCCAAATCTTACAGGGAAAACAAAAGTTGAGGGTGACTGTTCAAACGAAGTTTGAGTTACCTTAGTATATATTAACTCTGAACCAGACTCTCAGGCTCTACAACAATCTCATGAAGTTATCTGACTTCCCATTTAACATCTCAGCCTTCTAAGTTAATCTTAAGGATGAAGAACATTCTCTTTTTCAAAGACTACATCACTAGATGAGTCTAAATAGTTACAAGTCACTTCCTTATATTGAGTTGAAAATCACCTCTTTGTAATCTGACTTACTAGTTCTTGTTTTATGCCCTGTCTTCACCAAAAACAAATAAAAACTAATGCTTCCATATACATACTCTTTCAAATAGTTGAAGACAAGCTATCATGAACCCCCATGTTTTCCTCTCCAAATCCACAATTTCACCAGCTATCCTAGGACGTGGAATAGAATGAATTTCTTCCCAATCCTGGCTGCTATTCTCTAAATAAACCTAAACTTATCTAAATAGACCCTTCTTAAAGTACTACCTCAAAATTCAATTCAGTAATTCTGATGTTGCCTGTAACATCAGAAGACAACTTCCTTAAAAACACAGCAAGTTGGATTTACCAAGTTGCTGTCCAGGTCACATTCCCTCCTGCCCTCACTGCCATCTTTGTGTTATAGTTTATCTCCAGTTCCATTTTGCTTAGTATTCATGATGCTCAAGTTGTCACTGTGGACATCAGAGACTATAAACATATATTGTTCTGGCTCCTTCCTGTACATCTTTCTGAGTCATACCTGCTATTCTCCAAAGTCTGTGAATCCCGATACTAATAACTTGGCAATTCAGTTTAAGGTCCTCTTCAGAAGGTCAGTTAGCTCAAGGCAATCACATTCTTCCCAGGACTCTTAAGAAATACTCCAACCCCAGAAAAAGGCGTTTCTTTCTGGTATCAGGAGCCATGGGCCACAAACACAAATCCAATAGAATTTCAGCCATTTACCTCCCAGATTGTCCTCTCCCTGAAGTCCTAGCTAGAGCAGGACAAAATAATGAAAACACCACCTGCAATCATCAATCCTCCAGTTTCCTGGTCAATATTTCATATTCCCTTCAAGATACCTCCCAAAGAGGGCGTGACAAGGGAGGGGCACACAGGGTGCTACAGGTACTGATAAAGATCTATTTCATACACACACACACACACACACACACACACACATATATATATATATATATATATATATTATTTTTTTTTTTTTTTGAGATGGAGTTTCTCTTGTCACCAAGGCTGGGGTGTAATGGTGCAACCTCAGCCCACTGTAACCTCTGCATCCTTGGTTCAACTGATTTTCCCACCTCAGACTCCCACGAAGCAGGGCTTACATTACAGGCACCCATCACCATGCCTGGCTAATTTTTTTTTGTATTTTAAGTAGAGATGGGTTTTCACCATGTTGGCCAGGCTGCTCTCGATCTCCTGACCTCAAGTGATCTGTCTGCCTTGGCCTCCCAAAGTGCTAGGATTACAGGCATAAGCCACCACGCCCAGCCAAAGGTTCTATTTCTTCAGTTTGGTGTTGGGCATATGGACGTATGATTTAATGTTTTAAAAAAGAAAGATAGCTTCCTGTTTTTTTGTGTGTTTTGTTTTTTGTTTTAGGCCTGCATGCTTCATTCACTCCCCCATATGAATCCGTAAAGAAGTAGCCATTAGCAACTTCAGTCAATATATACCGGATTCATACTTTAGGAAGACAACCAGTTGACAACCACAACAGTTTCTATGATAACAAAAGTGAGAGAAAATACTGACATTAGGGTCATTTCAAGAAAGTTCAATCATAAGATATAATCCCAAGAAAAAATATACACACAAAAAGGGAAGTACAAAGGTTTTATAAAACTACTATTATCCTCAGAGTAAGAACAATAAAGTATTGTTTTATGTCTGTTTTTTTCATCAAAATACCTCAATATAGCCATAGATTTTAAACCATTACATCCTATCTAGATTCCCTATTAGATCATTAATATTTCTTCTAAATTCCATTGTTATTCCTTTGTAACGTTGATTTTTAGTATCTTAAAAATGCCTTATTAAATATAACACATACATTCAGAAAAGTACATAAAATATACCTTAAGGTATACCTTAACATGTTATCGTAAATTATTTGCCCACGTAACAACCAACCTGCTCCAGAAATATATTCCAGCCAGTATCCAAGAAGCTCACAGATGTCCCTTTCAGGTCACACCTCCCTACCTCTCACCTGGATGGCCTCCTTACCCTAACCTCGATGGAATCACCTCTTTGTTCTTGATAGTTTTACTGCCCAAGTATGGATCCAGAAATAAGTGTTTCTGTGTTTTCTTTTCATTTTTTTAACCCTAAGAAGCCTTTTTAGAAGTTTTCTTCCTAATTCTACCCCCATTCCCCTGTGGTGGAATTTCAACACCACAGATATATTGTATGTCGGTTTATGTTATATGACCCTTTGGAGGGCAGCAGACCATTATAATAGGTAACGTTTTCTTTTACTCTAAAGACCAATTTTCACTCCACTGCAGGTGACACTGCCTCCACTAAGAATGAATGTCCTAACCAACCTTAGTTTTGCCTATTTTTGAGCTCTATACAAGGGAAATTGTACAAAATAGGTTTTGGGGGTCTGGTTTCTTTTGCTTAACATAGTTTTTAAGGTTCGCCCAGCTGGTCCCACTTAGCTGTAAGCCTTTTTATGAATACCACAGTTCTTCATTTTCTTGGAACGACCACTTGGGTTATTTTCTGTTTGGGGCTATTATAAATGATGCTGCTCTGAACATTCCCATCTCCTCATGCCTACGTACTCCTTTCTTGTGCAGTGAATATCCACAAGATTCCTGAACCATAGTGTATGAGTATCTTCCACTTTACCAAATTGTTTTCCAAAACAGTTGTACAAATATACACCCCCCATTCAAAAAATAGAGAGTCCCGTAACAATTTTCTTACCTTCAAAGATAAGTTCAGCAAAATATCTCCCAAGCCTTCTTTTTCTTTTAAGATCTGAAGATTACTGTGCAAAGGACTATCAGGGTCAACCCTAAGAACCACAAAACAAAAAACAGTTCAAACAAAAAGGTAATTTTTTTTCAACTAACTCAAAAATGAACCAATCTGAAAGCTAAAATAGAGCACCTAGGGTAAGTTCCAGAAGGAGAAGATCTTAAGCTGCTCTATATCCCCAGGAAAAATAAAGGTCACTACAGCTTCCAGCTCCTTCAGAATAAATGTCCAAAAGAGATCATAATAGCCTAAATCTAATCTAATAAGGAGGTTCAGAGTTTGCAGTCATTCTAAAGGAAAACAGTCACATGTATATAATTTTCTCAAAAATTCAAAAGAAGTTTAATATGCCTTCCTAAACTTGTATTATTAGCCAAGGGGTTCAAGGAGAACAATTTGCCATGGATGGAACGATGAAAAGTTAAATCACTAAAAAAACGGTATTTTTCTACAACTGTCATATATATACATGTCCAATATGACTTCCACTCCCCACTCCCCTGGCCTGTTTTTTTTAATTTATTTATTTATTTATTTTTTTTTTTTTTAAGAGACAGGATGTCTTGCTTTGTCACCCAGGCTGGAATATAATGGTGCAATCACAGCGCATTGCAGCCTTGACCTCTCAAAGCTCAAAACCTCTTCCTGTCTTAGCCTCCCACCACCCCCAGTAGCTGGGACTACAGGTGTACTCCACCCATACATTTTAAAAGTAATAACATAACTATCTCTACAATAAGAGTTGATTATGTTGCTTTCAAAACTGGGGGAAAAGTCATAAAAATCAACTTGGCAATCATTCTCTGTATAATGAAACGTATTACTCTTATTTACTTTCCAAGCAATATTGCTCAAGCTTGAGCTTTTTGCTAGAAGATAAAAAATATGTAAGAGTTCACTCTATCAGGAAAATGACAAAAAGTTTCTGACGGACCTATAAAAACAATTTCTCTAAATCCAAAAAACAAGTAAACTCATCCTATCTTACCCCCTACATCTTTTGGAACTTGGTTGCCTTTGAATTTCACAAAATTAAGCTAGTAAACATTTCCATTTTGGTCCACTTTTAAGAAATGACATTCATAATCTGACAACAGAAAAGAGCAAAAGAACAAGAAGAAGAGCAGGGATTTAGAGATCCTTCCCTGTCATGTAACTCTGTGATCTGTATATGTCCCTGAGCTCTTTCATAAGTCTATCTGAAGCTTGCACTGACCCAGACACTGCAGCATGAAACACAAAAGCCTCTGTTTACCAGGGTCTACTGAGCCAACTAATCTAAAGATTTAAGGTATTTCAACCTGATCTATAAGATTACAGTAGCCAGGCATGGTGGCTCACACCTGCAATCCCAGCAGTTTGGGAGGCCGAGGTGGATCACTTGAGGCCAGGAGTTTGAAACCAGCCTCGACAACAAGATAAAACCCCATCTCTACCAAAAAAATACAAAAGTTAGCCGGGCGTGGTTGCACGTGTCTGTAGTCCCAGCCACTTGGGAGGCTGAGGCAAGAGAATCACTTGAACCTGGGAGGTGGAGGTAGCAATTAGCTGAGATGGCACCACTGCACTCTGGCCTGGGCCACAGAGTGAGACGCCATCTCAAAAGAAAAAAAAGGAAAAAGATTGCAATAAAAATGGATCACCATGGCCAGGTGTGGTGGGTCACACCTTTAATCCCAGCACTTTGGGAGGCTGACATGGGTGGATCACAAGGTCAGGAGATCGAGACCATCCTGGTTAACATGGTGAAACCCCGTCTCTATTAAAAATACAAAAAATTAGCCAGGTGTGGTGGCGGGTGCCTGTAGTCCCAGCTACTCGGGAAGATGAGGCAGGAGAATAGCATGAACCTGGGAGGTGGAGCTTGCAGTGAGCCGAGATTGCACCACTGCACTCCAGCCTGGGTGACACTGTGAGACGCCATCTCAAAAAAAAATAAAATAAAATAAGGATCACCATTCAACATTTTAAGAAGTAAAAAAAAAAAAAAAAAAAAAAAAAAAGTCCAATTAAATGAAGTATTATGAAGTTTCAAGAAAATATAAAACCAGATACAAGTCTGGTTGTTTTCCTATTTCTTATAATCTGAAAAACTCTAACCAACATGCTCTGACCACCATGGATTCACGATAGGATAGAAGTCAGTATGAGTCTATTCCAAACCCCAGCAATTTTTGAAAATAATAGAAGACACTCAAGGCGATACATTACTAACTAAAAGAGACTTCCATTCATAAGACTACGAGCAAGAATATTACACAGTCTAGTTCACACATTGAGACACTAAGAAACGTGTGCCTACATGCTACTTGTTTCCGCTTTTCAGTGTGGGGACTTCTCTAAAGATGAAAACACATCGGTATCTTATCCTAAGACTAAATAGAAACGGAACTACTTGTTAGTAATGTGAAACTAAAGGTTTTAAAGACTGCACTATTCTTTGAAAAAGAAAAAACAACAAGTTTACAAATATATTACTTCCTAGCTATATAACCATGAGCTCATTTCCTAGCTATAAAATATGAGAAGTTTCTCCTCTCTAAAATATGAAGAGCACCTATTTCATACAGCGGCTATGAAGACTAAATCAGAAGATATATAAAGTATAAAGTACTTAGCATAGTATCGGTCATGCGAAAGTGTTCAATAATTTATACTTGTTTTGAAGATAACTCAAACTGGAATTGATCACAAGACATGGAAAGTACATTAATTCAAATGCTACAAACTTAGTTTTATAAATAATCAAGATATGAGAAATTGACTAAATGTCTTTCGTCTATGAAAAATTACTAATTAAATTCATATATAACTAAGACTGAATGATGGCGAGTAATCTTTCTGGTTTCAACACTTGGCATCTACTTGCCTAACAATTCATTCCCTGTTTTGGAGAACCTGTGCCCAAGACAAAGTAACTTGTCCTTGGATTTTGTGGAGTTGGTAAACAGCTCTAATAGAAGGCATGAAGTAGTAAGTGTTCAGACTATCATCTGACGTTTCTCTACTCTGTCCGAGCATTTCATGTATATACACACAATATTCTCATTTATTTTTCACAGTAGTCATCCAAAAGGTATGTACTGTTTATTCATATTTTAGAGTTGAGCAAAGTGAAACCAAAAAGGTGTGTTTGTCACCAAACTCAGTGTTCTTTTCACGTCCTGCTGCTTCACATAAAAGAGGTGTTAAGTGAAAAGAGAAGAATTATTCTTGGTTTGGTGAGAGCAGGATGGACCAAAGTCAGCCTCATGAAGGAGAAATAATTTGAGTTGTTTTGTAGGAGAGAATGAATGTGAGTATACAGATGCCACAGAAGGAAGGTAAGCAGAGAAAACAGCATAAACAAGCCGGAACGGGGCATATACTGGGATCAGAAGGTGGTTCCAGGATGTGAAGAGCAGATGAACAGGGTAAAAAGTGGCTATTCTTAGATGAGAAAGATAACCTTGGGCAAGAAAACATATGACCATGGCTACGCACGGTGGCTCATGCCTGTAATCCCAGCACTTTGGCAGGCCAAGGTAGGAGGATCACTTGAACTCAGTTGTTCAAGACCAGCATGGTCAACATGGTGAGACCTCATCTCTACTAAAAATCAAAAAAATTAGCCTGGTGTGGTGGCACATGCCTATAGTCCAAGACACTTGGGAGGCTGAGGCAGGAGGATTGCTGGAGCCTGGGACATCAAGGCTACAGTGAACTATGATTGTGCCACCACATTCTAGCCCAGGTGACAGAGCAAGACCCTGTCTCAAAACCAATAAACATATGACTGAATCTACCACTAAGGCGGGAATGGAGGAGGAGAGCAGCTGAATTTGGCAGGTTCACAAATTGCCTGGTATCAACTATAATTACTTAAACAAAAAGTCCAGGCTCTAGCTATTTATACACACTTACACATTTAAATGGTCTTGCCTTTCAGTCTTCCTAATTTTCTCTACTACTGCCAAATGTTCTTTTTCAGTTCCTTCATCCTCCAACTTTTTCCCACTAATAGGCTCTTCTTTCATCTCACAGTGATCTCAGTCTTCTATGTCCTGCAAAAAGAAGAAAAATGTTAGCTTATTCAACCTATTTTTCTTCAGCAGTTTCTTATGCCAAAAGTTAAATTATTCTTGACTCAATGGGGGAAAAGAAACAGAATATATCTATCCTATGGGGAGAGAGAAAAAGCCCCCACATTCCATTCAAGAGGCTCCCAGCTTTTATATCCTATATTTTATTTAAAAGCTAGGCTCTGGGTAAAGCAGATTTCAAAGCTTTATAAAGTCATAGGTATTATGAAATAAGTCATCATTTATTTATTTACTTCTTTAATTTTAATTCACTTTTTAAAAATAGAGTCTCACTCTGTCACCCAGGCAGGAGTATAGTGGGGTGATCTCTGCTCACTGCAAACTGCCACCCAAGTTCAAGAGATTCTCATGCCTGTCTCCTGAGTAGCTGGGATTTCAGATGTACACCTCCATGCCCAGCTAATTGGTTTATCTTTTTAGTACAGATGGGGTTTCACCATGTTGGCCAGGTTAGTCTCAAACTTCTGACCTCAAGGGATCTGCCCACCTCGGTCTCCCAAAGTGCTGGGATTACTGGCATGAGCCACCATGCCCAGCCAAGGTATCTTTTAAATCTCCTCTTAAGAGGAACCATTGAGACAGTTTAGCAGCAGGTGTCAAGAACCTTAACAGTTCATAGTTTGTTCCAGAAACTTGACTTCTAGAATTGTATTCCAAGAAACTAGTCTAAGATGTAAACACAAATTTAGGCATAAGGATACCTATTGCAACCTTGCAACCACAAAAACATACACAAAATCTATATGTGCAAAAATAGCAAAACAGTGAACTCGATTCCATGAGATATTAAGGGGCCACTGAAATACCAACACAGCATAATTTCTCCTGTATCAAAAAACTTTGAAATGAAAAATGGAATACACAAAGCAAAAGAAAGAATTTAAATTATGCTGAAATATGCACAGAAAAAGACCAGAAGAACTTATATTGAAATGTTCCTTTCAATTAATTTTAGTTGTTATCTCTGGAGACATTTGGTGCTTTCCCCTAATTTCAGTTTATGGTTTTACATAGTAAGCATCTATTGACATTAATAACCAAAAAATGAGTTAGAAAAATAATTTGATTTCAGGTGCTCGGGAGGATGAAATAGAAGGCTCCTTTGAGCCCAGGAGTTTGAGGCTGCAGTAAGCTATGATCATGCCACTGCACTCCAGCCTGGGTGACAGGGACCCTATCTCAAAAAATAATAATAATTTAAAAAGAATTTGAATAACACCTCCCAGAACAACATCTTTATTCACATCATTCTGCTCCCTCCCTCCCATACTATCTGTTCTTACACATATACAAATATATGCAGATTTTTTAAAATCCTAATTTGCTTCAGTTACCTTAGTTTTCTACTTCAAATGTCAAAATCTCTAAAGGATAGCTTATATTCATCTCGATTTTTTTTTTCCAAGTCGGCTAATTCACTGATTTCTAGACCAGGTTACTGACTATCTTCACTCAAACTCTGCGCGTGACTCTATATGTCATGGAGCTCCCTTCTCCCCGTGTGTACCTTTTGGACCTGACCTTCCATCCTACGCTTATTTTCCTCACAATGCTCAGAAATGCCTTTGGTCTGTATTTCCTCCTATACCTTCAACCTCAGTCATGTTCCCATCCACAAAACTTCTCCACCTAAGTATTAATCAGCACATCGCAAACAGAATTCAACATACCTTTTAAAGCAATATCCTCAGCACACTATTCCCTGCTTAAGGTCTTCTTATCAATAATCACACCAAATAGAAACACACGCCTGTCTCGAATTCAAGACTTTTAACCATCTGCCTTTTCTGGCCAATCTTGCTGTCCATGACTTCAACACATCAACTTTCCTTCTCAAAAGAAAAGCATCCACTACATCCAAACACACCATGTCCAAGGTTGTTCTGGGCCTGTTCCCACGTTCTTTTAGGAGCCTAGAATATCTGCTTTTCAGCTGTCCTCATCTGACATCTCCAAAGTCTAGTCGCTTACCTTTCTAGATTTCCTTCAAAGTTGCGGTCCCTTGTTTATTATATTGTGAGGGGAAAAATGAAAGGGTACGTGATCTTTAGTACAATGGCCGCCTGACCCACGGAAAAGGTTTAATGTTTTCATGCAGTTTATTCCACCTCAGCTAAACTGCAAAAAAACATTAAAACAAACTCCCATTCTAATTGGACAATTCTAAGAAGTATTTTACTCCCAGACTCATAAAACAAGCCTACAGCCAGGCACAGTGGCTCACGCCTGTAATCCCAGCACTTTGGGAGGCCAAGGTGGTGGGTCACTTGAGGCCGGGAGTTCAAGACCAGCCTGGGCAACAGAACGAGACTCAAACTCTACAAAACATTTTAAAAAATTAGCTGGACGTGGGGCACCTGCCGGTAGTCCCAGCTACTCCGGAGAATTGCTTGAACCTGGGAGTTCAAGGTTGCAGTGAGCCCTAACCACGCTACTGCACTCCAGCCTGGGTGACAGAGAGACCTTGTCTCAAACAAACAAACAAGTCTACCACACTACTTCTTTAGTTCTGAAACACTCTAAAAGTGTATTTTAGATTAATAATTTCCAAAAATAGAAAATGAAAGTCTGAATTAATTATAAGACCCCAAACAGAAAATATCTTTTATTTTTATTTATTTATTATACTTTATGTTCTAGGGTACATGTGCACAATGTGCAGGTTTGTTACATATGTATACATGTGCCATGTCGGTGTGCTGCACCCGTCAACTCGTCATTTACATTAAGTATATCTCCTAATGCTATCCTTCCCCCCTCCCCCGACCTCACAATAGGCCCTGGTATGTGATGCTCCCCTTCCTGTGTCCAAGTGATCTCATTGTTCAATTCCCACCTATGAGTGAGAACATGCAGTGTTTGGTTTTCTGTTCTTGTGATAGTTTGCTGAGAATGATGGTTTCCAGCTGCATCCATATCTCTACAAAGGACACGAACTCATCCTTTTTTATGGCTGCATAGGATTCCATGGTATATAAGTGCCACATTTTCTTAATCCAGTCTGTCATTGATGGACATCGGGGTTGATTCCAAGTCTTTGCTATTGTGAATAGTGCCGCAATAAACATATGTGTGCACGTGTCTTTATAGCAACATGATTTATAATCCTTTGGGTATATACCCCGTAATGGGATTGCTGAGTCAAATGGTATTTCTAGTTCTATATCCTTGAGGAATTGCCACCCTGTCTTCCACAATGGTTGAACTAGTTTACAATCCCACCAACAGTGTAAAAGTGTTCCTATTTCTCCACATCCTCTCAAGCACCTATTGTGAAAATATCTTTTAAAACAAGACCATAAAATTCACATATCTTCTATTTGGTCAATGCAGAGACAAAGATCTTTGTTCTGAAGTTTGAATGTAAATGCAAAGCTTCAGAGCCTAAAAACATCTAAAATTATATCCAGAACTGACAACTGGCCTAGGTTCAATGTCGTTGGAAATTGCTCTACTAAATTTGCTACCATTTGTATGTGTGCTTCCAAAATTCAGGTGTTTCTAATGTGATGATATTAAGAGGTAGGACCTTTAAGAGGTGATTAGGCCAAGAGAGCTCCTTCCTCCTTAATGGGATTAAGGCCCTGATGAATGAGGCTTCACACATGGGACTAGCTTGCTCTCCTGCCCTTCTGCCTGCTACCATCTGAGGACGCAACAAGAAGGCCCTCAGACATTAAATGTTGGTATTTTCATCTTGGGCTTCCCAGTCTCCAGAACTGTTATGAAATAAATGTCTGTTCTGTATAAATTACCCAGTCTCTGGTATTCTATCATAGCAGCATAAAACAGACTAACATAAAATTCCTTGATGATTTTTCAACAAGAGACAGTTTCACTACTTCTGGTGAGTAGTCCCTAACACGTTCTCAAATTCTCCTTTTACGCAAACATAACACTTTTTAAACTTAGTAGTTCCTCTTCCTAAAAATAACCAAATGCAGGTTAAGGACTGATTAGTATAAAATAGAAATAAAGCTTTCATGCTAAAAGTTAAGGACTTTTGTTTTCCACAAAATCCAATCCAAAGAATTCAGATAAAGCAATTTGCTCAAAGGTGTATCATCAGTTAGAGGTAAATCCAGAGTTGAGAAATTACATTCTATTCCAAATACAATGTGCTTTCAATTATTGCACATTAATAGTAGTTTAGAAAGGAAATTTATGGAATTACTCAAATCAAAAATGACAACATTTATGAAATGCCTTTCTTATCCTACTTTAGCCATCTCCTTTTCTTCCTCTTCCTCTGAAGTCACTTCTTCTGTTGCCCCATTCTGAAACAGAGAAAAAATCTGCCAGGGTTACACAGGCTGAATACAGGCTAAGTCCATTAGAAGACTGGTGCCATAGCTTTAGGCACAAACTCTCAACCATCTGTCACTGCAGTGCCACTACCAGAGAGCTTATTAACATTAAATGTTTATTTTTAAATCCAACTTTGATTTGACAAACAACAGTTACCAGCTTTTAAAAACGGAACAGAAAATAAAAGAATTAGGAATAAAAAAGCAATCAAATATAAATATAAAATATAAAAAATATAAGTCAAATATAAAGCAAAACTGAAAAAAGTGTTAAAACAGAATCTAATTTAAAATAAGAAAACATTTTACTTACATGGCTATGTTTATAAGATCAATGGCTTATTTTGTTTAAAATAAATATCACAAACTATCCATTCCCTAAAATAACTACCTTTTTAACTTTTAAAAGCCTGAATCATTATATAAATTCAATTGCCTTTCATTTTAAAAGATCAGATGTATGATTTATAGACACTTCACAAAACTAAGAATTATGAAATGATTACCACCTTCCTAAAAGGCAAATTTTAGTTTTAAAAACATGTTATTTACTACCAGATACCTCTCTGCAAGACAGAATTTACCAACTGACACAATTGACAATCATCAAGTTTAGAAATGAATTTAATGGGGTTTTAGGAAGGGCCTTCATACCCAGTTTGGGCAATTTCAAAGGATAAGCTTCCTGGCCACCGTACGGTATATAAATGCATCTTTAATCATGAAGGCCAGTTGAGGTTAGAACCCAGAATATGTAACATATCAAGAAACTAGGATCCAGAGATCCAGTAAGACCCACAAAGGTCTCAGTAGTTTCTAAGCATCTGTTCTCAGATACTCTGATGGAGGAATACTTAAGAAAAACAACCCATGATCACAGGGTGTTAGAACTCTTCTGGATTAGTGAGCTGGAGAATGCCGTGTAGATAAACATACCCATGCAGAATTAACTTGTATTTCCTTTAAATCTGCATCTCTTTAGACATTCTTTGTCTTCTAAAATCTAAATGGAAAAAGGAAGCAAGCAGCAGCTTCCAAAATATAACTCACCCCTTCTTCATTTCCCTAAATTGATACATTCCAAATCAAACTATTCTGGGTATCTAAAGAATATATACTTAGCCTACAAGTCCCAAAGACTTTGGTTGCATCACTGATTGAAAGACAATTTTTGAAATGCTCATTTCAAAGCCTACCCAGAGAATCAGCTTTGTTGTTGTTGTTGTTGTTGTTGTTTGAGATGGGTCTCACTCTGTCACCAGGCTGGAGTGCAGTGGCAGGATCTCAGCTCGCTGCAACCTCTGCCTCCTGGGTTCAAGCGATTCTCCCGCCTCAGTCTCCCGAGTAGCTGGGACTATAGGTGCATGCCACCACGCCCAGCTAATTTTTGTATTTTTAGTGGAGACAGGGTTTCACCATGTTGACCAGGATGGTCTCAATCTCTTGACCTCATGATCCGCCCACCTCGGCCTCCCAAAGTGCTGGGCGGAATCTGTTTTTAAAAAGCTCTCTGAGGTGATTCTGACATGCATCCATGTCTGTAACCATCAGCCCAGTTACTATCTTTCATTTTACAAAGGACAAAGCTGAGCCCCCACCCCTCAAAAAGGGTAATTTAATCAAAACAAAAAGTGAGTTAGTGTTGTGAAATCCTAAGATGAATTTCTTTTCAGGATGTGGCCTGGTCCTCTTTCCAAAACCCCACCAAAATGACAGTATTTTATTGAAAAGAATAAGTCTGCCGCAGCAGCAGAAAAATAACAAATACAAGGAGAATACCCTGAGTGAACCAAAACCACAGGGACATGCTGGAAGACACAAAGTAGACTGAATCAGACTGCTGGGCTTAACAAGCCACAAACCCAATCCAAATAATGGAAGGACTACTTTTTTCCAGAAGAATCTTAACATTCTTTACTGTACTTCTCCCAACTACAGTTGGTAAAGATCACCCTCTATTGATATAGGAAGCCTATCTTGATGGCTTCTTAATGTGAGTGTGAAATCCAGAGATAAAAGACAATCTTTTTAATATAACTCAACACAGCAGCAAAATCTTGAAAGAGACACCATCTCTGCCTTTTAACTCAGGAGCTAGAAAGCTCTCCTGCCAGCACCTCCCCATCCTCATGCCACAGGATGAGCATGAGTCTGCAAACCAGGAGAGGGAGGCCACAGCAGAAAAGAGTGACAATTCTGAAGACACCTGTGATGGTTAATACTGAGTGTCAACTTGATTGGGTTGAAGGAATCCCAGCACTTTGGGAGGCAGAGGTGGGTCATTTGAGGTCAGGAGTTCAGGACCAGCCTGGCCAACACACTGAAACCCCGTTTCTACTGAAGACACAGAAGTTAGCCAGGCTTGGTGGCGGGCGCCCGTAATCGCAGCTATTCGGGAGGCTGTCGCAGGAGAATCGCTTTAACCCGTGGACTGTCAAGAGACATAGGTTGCAGTGAGCCAAGATCGCGCTACTGCACTCCAGCCCGGGTGACAAAGAGCCTGTCTCAGAAAAAAAAAAGAATGAAGTCTCGCTCTTATTCCCCAGGTTTGAGTGCAATGGCTGGATGTCCGCTCACTGCAACCTCTGCCTTCCTGGTTCAAACGATTCTCCTGCCTCTGCCTCCCAAGTAGCTGGGATAAAGTCACCTGCCACCACGCCCGGCTAATTTTTTTATATATTTTAGTAGAGACGGGGTTTCACCATGTTGGCCAGGCTGGTCTCCAACTCCTGACCTCAGGTGATTCGCCCGCCTCGGCCTCCCAACCTGCAGGGATTACGGTGAGCCACTGCGCCCGGCCGGAACACCGAAAAGCTTAAAAGCCTTTCCCCTTCCCCGCCTGGGCTCAAAAAACGCCGGAGCCGCTCTGCACCGCCCTGTCGCGGTCCCCGGAGCAGGCCGGCTGACTCGGGCGACCCTGGCTCCCGAGAGGGCTCCGGCCACCACGGGCTCCCACCTCTGGGCGCGGGGACAGGGGCCGAGACGGGCCAGCAGCCCCCAAGCCTGCCCCGCGCCTGGAGCCGGAGAGACGCGCCCTCCGCCTCTTCCCACCCAAGCCTCCCTCAGTCCCGGGGGAGGGCCGGGTTAGTCGCGGGAGAAAGGGGCGGGGAACCGGGGTCTCTCCCGGGCAGGCACCCCTTTGTTCCGGGACTCCAGGCGCCCCCTCTCCGCCCTCACCCTGCCCCGCGAGGCCTGGGCGCCTCACCGTCATGTTACAGTGGAGCGGGAGCCGGCGGCTGCGGGCTCCTGGTTCTTGTGGAAGACAGATGCCAGCAACTTCAGTTTGGCCTTGAGCCGGGACACTGACATCTTCCACTCATCTCAGGCGGGAGGGGCGCGGAACCGGAGACTGTCCTGAGCCGCTGTCATGGCCGCGACCACCCCGCGGGGCCGCCCTGCAGAGCTCTCCCAGCTTCCCCGCTCGCCGCCGCCTCCACCCTCCTGGGAGCGCCGCTGGAAAATTGCAAGAGGCACCGAGGAGGCCTTGGCAGGAGCTGTGTGGAGGCCTGTGGAGCTGCTCCCATTGTAACCGACTCCACCGACGGGAGGCGCGGCTCCTGTCAAGCCATAGTTTAAAAGGGCAACAGCACCACCGCCCCGCTACCGCCTGGGAAAGGGCTGCCCGCATCCCTGTCCCAGTCCGGGTCGCCCCTCGCCGCTCAACCCGGCGTGCCCCGCGCGCAGCCGTTTTGGCGGGTGCACGAGTCCAGAGCGTGCGCGCGCCTCCGGCTTCCCCTTCCTCCCTTGACCCAGCACCTTTCTGCCCAACCCATCTGGTCCCTTCCTCACACTGGCTGACTGGAGGCTTAGGGCGGCACAACCACCAACTCTCTCTCTCTCTCTCTCTGTGTGTGTGTGTGTGTGTGTGTGTGTGTGTGTGTGTGTGTGTGTGTGTGTGTGTGTGTGTGTGTGTGTGTGTGTGTGTGTGTGTGTTTGCGTGTGTCTTTCTGTCCGTCTCCCAAAGGAACAGAGCACTGCTGAGTTGAGGCTGATTATTAGCTCGTGGACTGTTAGCAAAATACAGTCACAAGAAGGCTGTGTGCTGATTTGTCTTTTGCGGTGACATCATGTTGCTCATGTTTTATGTTTTTCAGAGTTCATTAGTTTCTATTTGTTCTGTTAATATCTAGTTCAAGAGATTGTGTAAGTAGAATACCCCCAAACTGAAAGTCACCTAGGTAAAACATAGGAAAAATATGTCACCCATTTAAACTATAGTTGAAAATGTGTACACGTTAGTTTTGTGTAGCCAACACTGGATAATGGGTAAGGGCACAGGATCCCAGGGCTAGACTGCCTGGGTCCAAGTTCCAACTTAGCCACTTGCTGACTGTGAAATACTTGACAGCTTTAAGCCTCAGTTTCTTTGTATTTTTTTTAACTTAATCCCAAATGTGATAGTAAGTCTCAGTTTCTTGATCTGAAAAACAGAAATTATTCAATGAGAGTCTATGTGAAAACTTTAAAGTTTTTAAAGCCACTGCCTGACTCAGGAAAGTCCTCAGCTTTCGCTGTTAAAGTTTTAAAAGCCACTTTAAAGTTTTTAAAGCCACTGCCTGGCCCAGGAAAGTCCTCAGCTTTAGCTGTTATTAGCTATGATTATTATTGTGTTGGCTACACGTGCATTAACGAGGCAGGAAAATGCTCAAGGATAACAACCAAGAATCCAAATTATCTCATCAGACCAAGAGGGAGGCATATGTATGCATGCTTATGTTTCAGCTCAGAGCCCTTTGTCTAGAAGGCTCTTGAACTCAGAGGCCCAGGCACTATCAACTTTGCAGTGGAGCCATCACTTTTGTTGATCAATGAAATTGACATAGTGCTTTTTTTTTTTTTTTGCACCAATCATGTGCCTCAAGCTAACTGTGTCAAGAGGAGCATGCTTCAGATGGCTGGAGTGAACAATTCAACTTGTGGAGGAATGAGAAATGTTACTGTTGAGACAAGAAACATAAAACCCCAGGGTAAGGTAGGAATCACTGAAAGTCAGGCAAAGGAACCGGCATCCAGTAATGAGTTAGGCTTTGCCGGCTTCTGGCCCTACAGATGGCTCTTTGGAGAGGGAGAAAATTAAACCAGGCCTGAGGGCACAGATCCTAAGGGAATGCTGGCAGCTCTAGGCTGTCTATGGAAGAGAAGCAGAGGGTGGCACCTAGTGAAAGAGGGGGCTGGGGGACATAGCTTGAGCCTGTGTTTACAGATGGAGTCTCCTGATTCCTGCAACTGGGGAAGGAGATCGTGCCTGGATCAGGGGACCTCAAATCAGAACTCTTCCCACCCACACCCCTTCTTTTTCAGGCCATCTTTCATTGCAAACAACAGATAAACTAGTTGGAAAGCTCAGCAGATTCTCACGGTGGTGCTTAGCAGGCCAGGCCTAGCTGCCCTTTAACCTGTGACTGAGGATGATGCCACTGGCCTGTAAGCACACATTGGAAAATCTTTACATCCAGGGACACTCCATGCCACACAGAGACAGCTGTGCATGGTTCTTTAGGTTTGAGGTGCTGTCCTGGCCGTTGCCTTATAAATATGTCGGATTAAAATGGGTTGCCCTGGAGCTTATCTAACCTTTATCCTCCTCCACTCCCTGCCCCAAAATGAAGGAGCTGCTAGTTTTGTTTGCTTTATGGAAGATGGATCTGTCATTGTTCTTAGAACCTTTGGAGAAAGATTTCTTGGGAGGAAGCTATCCTGAACCCCCAGATATTTTCTCATTTACTGGTGCACCAGCTTTAGAGTCTTAAGTCTTCATCCTGGCTCAGCCACCCTCCAGCTGTGTGACCTTTGAGAAGTTGCTTGTCTACACTGAGTCTCGTTGTCACCTATGAGTGGAGGCTGCTACATTGCAACTGTTTGGAGCACCTACCCACAGGCACTCTTACAGCGTGATGGTGAAGATAAAATGCAATAATAAGGCTGAAGGGGGAGGATCGCTTGAAGCCAGGAGTTCAAGACTAGCCTGGGCAACAAAGCCAGACCTCATTTCTGTGAAAATGTTTTTTAAAAAATGAGCTGGACTTGGTGGCTTATGCCTGTAGTCCAGCTACTCGAGAGGCTGAGGTGAGACCACTTGAGGCCAGGAGTTTGAAGCTGCAGTGAGCCGTGATCACGCCACTGCACTCCAGCCCAGGCAACAGAGGGAGACCCTATCTCAAATAAATGAATAAGTACATAAATAAAATAATAAAATAATGCATGCAATTACTACACTAGTACATGATCAGGCACATGATAAATGCTCGATAAATGGTAGCCCCAATAAACTTTGTAATGTTTTGGGAGAGGGTGTTCTTTGGACTCAGCCCAGTGACAAAAGCATTGGAAAAGACTGATGTGTATGATGGCTGTTTCCTAAAAGTACAGGCCTGTACCCCCAGGGACCCGAGGCATTGGCTCCATGGGGCACCTTGTTCTATTTACACTTGTTTTGGGCAGCACCGATTGCCCTAGGGCTAAGCAGGACTGCCACCACTGACTCGATGGCCAAGAGTATCCCCCTCCCCAAGCTAGCCATGGGAAAGCCACTTGCATCATAAGACTACAGGAAATCAAAGGGAATAAAAAGCACGATTTAGTCAGCTACTCTCCAGCTGATGGGCATAGATTTTTGCTATTTTGAACAGAGTTGTTAGGAACATTCCTTGTCCACATCCCCTGTTTTATATAGACAAGAATTTCTCTTGGATGTAGAGTAGAATTGCTGGGCTGGGAGGAGTGTGAATATTCAACCTTATGAGATGGAGTCAAACTGTTTTCCAAGGTGGTCATACCAGTGTATACTCCCTGCAGCAGTTCTTAAGAGATCTCGGGATCTCTATCTTCTGGTAAGGTCACAAGCAGTCAAAAAGAATAAATCCCAGCTATAAACAACAATAAGAATCTTAGCAATATACTATTAAGTGAAAAAAATAAATTCTAGAAGGATGCATACAGCATACTTTATATAACTTGGAAAAGAAAATGTATATGCAGGCCGGGCATGGTGGCTCATGCCTGTAATCCTGACACTTTGGGAGGCCAAGGCAGGAGGATTGCTTGAGGCCAGGAGTTCAAGACCAGACTAGACAACATAGCAAAACCCTGTCTCACCAAACACTAGAAAAATTAGCCAGGTGTGGTGGTGCACACTTGTACTCCCAGTTACCCATGAGGCTGAGGTGGGAGGATCTCTTAAGTTTAGGTGTTCAAGGTTACAGTGAACCATGATTGCACCACTGCACTCCAGCCTGGGCAAGAGAATGAGACCCTGTCTCTAAAGAAAAGGTAAATAAGTAAATAAGTAAAATTTAACAACAAACTGTGGGCCGGGTCCGGTGTCTCATGCCTGTAATTCCAGCGCTTAGGGGAACTGAGTTGGGCAGCTCACGAGGTCAGGAGTTCAAGACCAGCCTGATCAACATGGTGAAATGACGTCTCTACTAAAAATACAAAAATTAGCCAGGCATGGTAGTGCACGCCTGTAATCCCAGCTACTCGGGAGGCTGAGGTAGGAGAATTGCTTAAATCTGGGAGGCAGAGTTTGCAGTGAGCTGAGATTGCACCACTGCCCGCCAACCTGGGTGACAGAGCAAGGCTCTGTCTCAAAAACTAAACTATACTAAAATTTTTAAAAAATTTTTTAAAGTTGGGTTTTTGACAAGATAACATTGACAAACAACAGGAAACATGACAACTGATACTGCAAAAACTCAGGCCGGGTGAAGTGGCTCAAGCCTGTAATCCCAGCACTTTGGGAAGCTGAGGTGGGTGGATCACGAGGTCAGGAGATCGAGACCATCCTGGCTAACATGGTGAAACCCTGTCTCTACTAAAAATAACAAAAATTACTCTGGCGTGGTGTCAGACACCTGTAGTCCCAGCTACTCAGGAGACTGAGGCAGGAGAATGGCGTGAACCTGGGAGGCAGAGCTTGCAGTGAGCTGAGATTGCACCACTGCACTCCAGCCTGAGTGACAGAGTGAAACTCTATCTCAAAAAAAAAAAAAAAGTAAAAAAAAACAACAACAAAAAACCAAACCCTCAAAGGATCACTAGTGGCTATTATTAGCAAATATATGCAAAGAAATAGGAAAACCTACTAAAAATGGATAAAGTTCCAGACACATCTAGACTACCAAGATTAAATCATGATGAAATCCAAAACCTGAACAGACCAATAACAAATAATGGGATTGAAGCGGTAATAAAAAGTTTCCCAGCAAAGAAAAGCCTGGGACCTGATGATTCACTGCTGAATTCTAGCAAATATTTAAAGAAGAACTAATACCAACCTTAACCAAACAATTCCAAAACTAGAGAAGGAGGGAATACTTCCAAACTCTTTCTACAAGGCTACTATCGCCCTGATACCAAAACCAAAGATACATCCAAAAAAGAAAACTACAGGCCAATATCAATGATGAATATTGACGCAAAAATCCTCAACAAAATATTAGCTAACTGAATTCCACAAGCATTAAAGTTGGGGTGCAGTGTCCCAGGTTCACTCAACCCTTCCCGTTTTCCTCTCTGTGTGTGTCTACTTTGCTGTGTTCCCTGGGGGCAGCGGCGGTGGCAATGTTGGTGCGTGGGCCTCCCAGGACAAGGGGAAAGTGAGTGTGCCCTTTTCTTGCCTCCTGCCGGGCATCTGCAGCCTAGCACAACTTTGTCCAGGTCTCCAAGCCGAGGACCTGGAGATGTTCTTTTCCAATTTCTGGATTGGTAGCTTGAGGCAAATTCTGGGCACTAGAGTCAGAACTAAGAAGAGACTGAATCAGGGGAATCTGGGGTCCTGAGAGTCAGAGACCTGAAACCGTCTAGAGCCGTGTGGGGAGTTGGGTGCGTGTTCAGGCCAGTTGCTTCTCTCTGTGCCTCAGTGTTCCAGGTACCCTTAGAGGGGCTGAGATCCTAGGGATTCCTGGAGCCTGGCTGCATGGCCTGGCCATCCTGATGCCCTTGTGTTCTCCATGACAGGGCAGCAAAGCCGAGGAGAATGGCTCCAACAGCTTCATGCACTCCATGGACTCACAGCTAGAGCGGCAAATGGAAACCACCCAGAACCTGCAGGACTCACACATGGCCATTGTCAACAACACCATGTGGGACCTCATGGTTGGTGTCACGCCCAAGACCATCATGCATGTCATGATCAACAACGTGCATGCACCGCCTCATGGGGGCAGGAGGCTCCTGTGGCACTGGGGGTGCAGATAGCCATGCTGGCCTGGGGGAGATGCTAACCAGCCCTATGGGACCAGGTCCAGGGCAGAGCTGTGTCATGGAAATATAACATGGGACTGAGGACAGTGACCCATGCCTGTAATCCCAGCACTTTGGGCGGCCAAGGCGGGAGGATAGGTTGAGCCCAGGAGTTCAAGACCAGCCTGGGCAACATAGTGAGACCTGGTCTCTACACAAAAATTTTAAAAATAGCTGGGCTTGGTGGTGGCACGTGCCTATAGTCCTTGCTACTCTACAGGCTGACATTGGAGGATCACTTTGAGCCTGAGGTTGAGGCTGCAGTGAGCGGTGATCTCGCCCACTGTACTCCAGCCTTGTGACCGAGTGAGATCCTATCTCCAAAAAAAAATTTATTTAAAAAACTGAGTAGACAGGTGTGCTGGTGGCATGATAGGTCCTGGGTCCCCTCCCAGACCTGTGACCTTGGACAGGTGACTTTTCCTCTGGACCTCAGTGTCCCTATCTGAGTGAGAAAAGGGCAGTGGGGAGGCAGATCTTTGAGTCTAAGTGGTGTAGAAGCCGCGTCTGAAAAGCCATACTCAGGGCTCCAAGTCCAGCACACAGACCCACCATGGCCTGGCAGGAGGCCAGCGCAGCACAGGCATCAGGTCCCAACCTCCTTCCCTCTTTGCCCACTCTCAGACCAAGGAGTTCATCTTCTCGGAGCTGCTGTCCAACCTGGCATCCTGAAATTGAACCTGCAGGACAACCAGGTGTCCTGTCCCTGTACTCACGTGGGGACCAGAACATGCTGATGGAGGAGTCAGCAGAGCAGGCACAGCGGTGCGCCGAGATGCTGCGCATGCACCACGTGTTGAAGGAGGCACTCAGCATCATCGGCAACATCAACATGGCCACCATCAGCACGCCCACGGGGTCTGTGGACAACTCCTGGCTGTAGGTGCCGAGAGTCCTTGCTGGATGCAGGTACCAGGGCTGGCCCCCAAGGCCCCAAAGTCCCCCAGCCCCCATGGCTGAGCCTGGGGCTCTTGGAGCAGGCTCTGTGCCCAAGCTGACAGACATGGGTGCTCTCTGGAACCATCAGAGAGCTCATGGTTTATGGTGTAAGGGCTTAGAGCTTGGAGGGGGTTGTGTGTGGGGCTGCACTCTGAGGCAGCCAGAGGCCTAGGAATGTCATCCTGGGCCCACCGTACCTGTTGTGCAGTCTGAGTCATGCTGCCAGGGCAGAGTATCCAGCTCCCAGTCTGGGAGTGCTGAGAGCCAAATCCACTGCAGAGGAGGGGTGAGTCAGGGTCATACCTCCTCTATCTGTCGGCAATCCAGTGGTGATCTAGGATAAAACCTCGAGAGTCCCATACACACGGTCAACCCACAACACACCTCACAGGCCAGGTAGGGACACACAGCCCCCTTCTCTCCCTCCCAGGTACCATCATAGCTGCCAGCGTGTGACGGAAGGCAGGATCCCTGGCCACCGCTCAAGCACCATCGCCGGTCAGCAGGCTCACGCACCTTGGCCTGTTGCTTCTAGAGGTCGCCTCTGCTATTCAACCAAGGGGACCACAGTGCCTGGTGTCCCGGCTGAGCTCTGCCCGGCAAGCCCGCCCACCTTCCCTGCCATGGACTCTCCCTCTTCTGCTTTTCCCAGCAGGAAGGGCCCTGCCTCACTTACGCGACCTGCAACCCCCAACAAGCTGAGGCTTCCCTCTTAGGCTTATAAGTCTATAGCCAGTGGAATCCAGCTGCCTGCCCTCCCTGTTTCCCCCAGGGTCCCTTCAGAGGATCCTGGGCATTCTGACCACCCAGAGGGTTCTCCAGTGATCACTCCAGCCATCCATCCCTTTTAGCTTCATCATCCTGGTTCAAGCAGTGTTCCTTCTCTATCAGGCCTGGTGGCTGTTGTAAACTTGTGTTCTTTTAATAAACAATTGCAAAGTTATATTATAATTTTGTAAAAACGAAACAGATTATCTCATGCCAAGCATGCCCGGCATTTGCACAGTATCAATACCTTTTATACTATAGTTTTCAAGACTCGCAAAATAAAATTTTAAGGCAAAAGCAGCACTTTGCAACAATTTAATCATTTATTACATTAGAGTAGCATCACACCAGCAGTCAACAATGTCACTTTAGGGAAAAGTCTTTCAGTATTTCCATTATAAATTCTGTTTACAAGAATTCATAAATTGGTAAAATTCATTCTAAGAAAACTTGGCAAATAAAGCTTTGGGCTGGAATTGGCATTTCTTTCTCTACTTTTCCTTCCCACCGTTTCGTTCTTTTAAACTACAGTGTTCATATTTTAAAATGTTTTAACTTATTTCAGAACATTAAGATAGCAGTTACATTTTTTAATAGTTATATTATTTTAAAATGACTCTTTAAGATAAAGTTTTAGAGAAACTATATTATGGATAGGGCTGATTTACATTTTCAAATTTTCTAAAAAACAGCTTAGAAAAGTTCTAGAGCTGAGTTTTTTCCATTTCTGGAAAACCTATCAGGTTTAATCAAATACTTTCAAATTTATTCAGTTGAACTCACATTTTAAAATTCTATGTTTCTGATGAACTCTAACCTTCCAATGTTGCCTTCTAAGCAAATTGAAAGCTGCCTTACACTGAATGAGGAAGAGCACAAATACTTGGCTGAATGAGGTATCGCAAAAGACTGAATGCACTTTGAAGACTTATGTTATTGTCATACCATTTCCATTCTTTTTAGCTTTTTCTTAAATATATGACAAATAACTACACAAAGAGTGGAATTTCAGTCCATTTTAAACCCACGGGCTAGCAATTGTACCACTGTTAATTAGTCGCATTTGGTCTAACATTTTTTCTTTATCATTCTGAAACTGGGCTTATCTAATACATTGCTACATTCATACAATTTGGAAGAGTCAGTTGAAGTCACAAGGACCCGATATTTGCACTCCTTTCAGTGAATGCAGGGAAATCTGTTATTCCATCGGTAAAATCGTATTGTTGCTCTCCTGTTACTGTCATATTTATAAAAGTATCATGAGGATGCCAAATGCTAAAAATGGAGATCTCGTAACCAGGAAATCCCCACTCCAGGGAGCACACGTACATAGCTCCGTACATCCTAATAAGGTGACATGTTTTGGAACACAAACATTAGAACTTCATGAAGTTTTAACGGTTGATTCTTTCCCAAGCATCACCAAGTTATGACTTAGGCAATGTGTGACTGAAATTCATTCATTCATCATGCATAGGCACAATCACATAAATATTGTACAAAATATGTCCCTAACTGAAACTGAGAGGTACAAAAAAATTTTCACCCTTAGTAAAGGAGTTTGTGAGGAAATACAACTCTGTGATTGTACAGACACGTTTCCTGATAATACACTGACATTCACAAACAGTAGATTGCACTGCAGTTTGTAAACATTTTAAGTTCTCCTTGATTTTTAAAGATAGTATAATACTGTCTACTAAAACTCCTTTCTGTTTCAACTAAGTACTCTCACATATATTAGTTTATGATAATGCTTGTTATTATTTTTGAAAGTGTTTTCCATTCAAGGAAAAGAAGTAAATTCCTATGTCAGAGTAACCAAGGTGGTTGAAGAATAGGTATTAGCTAGAGAGGTCTAGATGGTAAAATCAATCTTCAAGCCTCAAAGAAGCTCCATGAACAGAGAGGAATGCCAGGTGTCACACTGCTTCCGTTCACTCTCAATCATTCTAGACTAGAGCCTGTATGCCTGTTCCATGGATATTTAAACTCTTAAGGGATTCCTTATGATCTTTACTAAATATATTAAGAAGAATGCCAGCCAGCACCCTTTTGTGTATTGGGACATGTAGTCATGTGATTAAAACAGGTAACACGAACTCTGATTTTCAAATGTATTACAGATACAAATGTTCTAAGCAAGAAAGGTTTTCCACATCCACAGTCAATGATGGGAGCCTTTCATTCCTCAGAAATAATCCCTTTTTAGGTCATCGAGAAAGAGCATAACTGCTGCAGCTCGTGATGCAATATCTTCATGAGCCCAGAGCACACACAAATCCTGAGGGAACTACCATAGTACAGCGCTCATTCTTGGCACCGGAACAAATGAAACACACTCTATCCCGCACACACCTGCCAGAGCAGGCCACTTTCCTCTTCTGTGAGATTTTAAAATCCCCCAAAATGTTGTTACTCCCATCACCAATACACAGAAAATGGGGGAAAGGCTATTTCCAGTTCTCGGACTTTAAACAACTCTAAATGTCAGTACTCACAGTGGCATATTACAAAGTAATAAATAGTGCACACTTGAGGGCAAACCGCATATTGAGCTAATGAAGAGCTCACTGTGATTAAGATTAGATCAAACACAATAGCAGAATATAAGCAAATTTTATCGGAATTCTGTAATAAACATACATGCTGCAATAACATTGAAAAAGCATGGCAGCCTATTCCAAACCAGCGAGAGCAGTTTTGTGCAAACAGTGGGTCTTTGGGTGTTTGAACTCCCACCATGTAAGGGCAAACTCGATATGCATGCTAATGACCTACAGTTATGAAATTAAAAATGAAAAATGCTAAAGGATGCCAGAGTGAACCTCAGTGAAGGCCACAGAGACCCACTCTCTTTTAACTTTTTACAAATAAACTTAAAGTATAAATTAGAAACACAAATAAACATGAATAGCTCTAATATTCGAATGAAGTAAATGAATTGTGTAGGAGATTAACCCTATAACTTTGTTTCTTTTTAAAAAATTCCTTGACCAGCTCTTTGATGATGGTGATATTTATCTCCTTCTTCTCCGCAGCCAAGCCCAGCAAAAGAATGGCACAGAGCAGTTGCTGCCCAAGCCTGGGTGCTCCTGGTGGTCCTGCATGATGGGCTGTGCAGTACGGTTGTCCTGGGGAGACCCCTTCCTGGCCTCTCCTTGCGCAGGCTGGGCGCTGTCGGTGAGGCTCACCTCATAAAGATCTTTGGAGAGAGGGAGGCGGGGATCTGTGCACAGTGCAAAACCCCCTGCTCCTGCCTGCCCGCCCTGCATGAGGGCTCTACTCACCACCATGCTGGTCAGCAGCCCCAAGCTCCTGGGGGGGTGGGGCTTCTGGACCGGGCTCATTAGCAGGGTTCTGGGCAGCGGCCAGGAATTTGCTGTGCCCTTTGTTGCGGTGAGCACAAGATGCAGCAGCATCCCCTGCAGCTCCTGCAGCTCCTGCAGCTCCAGCAGCTCCACCTGGAGGGAGGGGTGCTCAGGTGTCACGCCACCCCCACCCCCGACCCCTACCCCTGCAGGGATGTTGCACACCCTACCTTTATCTCGTCGTCTTGGGCCAGCCTGATGATGTCCTCCTCCCAGTGCCGCCTCTTTGGCACTGCCCTCTGGCTCCGTTATAAGGTGATTAATTTTCCTGCGCGAGGACAGGGCTCAGACGCTGGGGCCCCTCTGACGGCCCTGCAGCTCCCCCTGCCTTGCCCTGGCCTCCCACTCACTGATGGGCCTCTCTCCCTCCAGTACTGGACGAATCGCAGTTCTAGTTTCTCCACACGCTCCCTCAGGTCCGCCTTCTCCTCCAGGAGATCCATAAGGCCGCTCTGGAATCAAAATAATGGGGTCACCTCTCAGCAGCGACCTGCCTATCCCTGCCCTTCTTGGCCTATTCCAGGACTCACCCACCTCCAGCTTCTCCATGACTTCCTGCAGGGCCCAGGGGGTCTCCTCACTCACAGACTCGCCCCCAGTCCCTGGGGCTGGGACCGCTGCCTCTGGCTCCTTCTGGGTTGAGGTTACTGTCTCCACCTCAACCAGCTTCTCCTGCAGCTCTTCGACTTGCTGCTCCAAGTGCAGTGCGCTCTTGTTCTCGTTGTTCTGGATAGAGAGAAGCAATCAGTAGTCACCCACTGCAGTTGGAGACCCTAGAACTTGGTGTCTGCCTCCCATGGCACCGGGAAGAGTGGAGGCAGGTTAGAAAAATCATCTCCTCTCTCCCACAGCCACCAGAGCAGGGCTCTGGCTCACAGGTGCCTTTAGAAGTAACATTTCACATGAGGGCTACACTGCCCCGTTTTACAGGTGGGGAAACAAAGGCCTGGAGGGCTAGGGAGGAGGGCAGGCTCCCCAGGTGGGGCAACACACCAGCTCCTCAACGCCGCTCTGTGGCTCGGCCAGCTGCTGAATTCTCTCCTCCTGCTTTCGAAGCCTCTCTTGCTGCTCCTGAAGCCTCTCCTCCTGCCTCTGAAGCCTCTCCTTTTGTGCCTGGTTCAGGAGACTTAAGTGCTGATGGTTTTCCACCTGGGCCTGGAGCTCTGCTGACACTCTCTCTAGTTCCTTCCTCAGGTGCTGCAGCTCCACCTCAGAGGGCACTGCTGGGGGCTCCAGGTGCAGAGGTTCAGCTGAGAAAGAAAGCAGGCAATAAGGGCCTCTAGATTCTCAAAAACCAAAAACCAAAACAAAACAAAAAACAACAACAAAAAAACACCCTCCTCTTGGTGCACAGCTCCTCTCAGGCTCCCCAAACTTGGCCTCACTGCTAATGATTCCTTGCACCCGCATGGTAGCCAATCTTCCAAACCACTTTCAGATGGAGAGCACTGTAGGTGGCTGACAACGGGCCCTCTTTGCTGATGGGGACACTGAGGCTCATGGAGATAACAAGACTTGCTGTCTCCCGGCACAGACCTCTTTCCCTCTGCCTCAAAGCCCTTCCATCCACCCACCTCCCTGGGGCATTCTAACCCACCCGCACAGCCCCCTCTCATGCCAGGCCTGCTCCCAGGTCATGCCAGTCCCATCTTACACCTCTGGTTTTTGAGTTGGGACAAGCTCCTCTCCAGCTCCTCCACCCGATGCATATCATGCTGCTTCTCCTCCTTCAAGGTGCAAACCTGCCCAAAGCACAGCGGGAAATGGCCCTGGAGAGAGGGGCTGGTGGCTGGACAGGCTACCATCTCCCTCTCTGCCCCCACCTCCACAAAGCCCAGACCCATGACCACCTCTGGCTGTACTATTCCCATGTTACAGATGCCCAGAAAGATCCAGTGACCTATCTAAGATGGGCAGGCTGAAGGGTCAGATCTCACCTCCTGTGACATTTTCCTCATCTTCTCCTGCCACTGGGCCCTCCCTCCTTTTATATGTTCAGCATATTCATCTCTCTCTAGCTGGACTTGTTTAAGTGACTCCTTCATCTGCAAGAATGGGCACAGAAGTTAGGAAGGGCTGTCACTGGTCCTCACCTGCTCCTGGCCACCTGGGGTCATCTTCCTTCCATATCCTCCCTCTGCAAAACCTCACCTGTGTCACGTGTGCTTTCAGCAGTGCCCGCTCCTGTAAGGACTGCTCTAACTGTGTGTTGAGAAGTGTTTTACTGCGGTTCAAGGACTGGATGGTGAAGAGTGAGAAGTTTCTATCAGGGGAACCTGGGCCATTCCATACAGTGCCCCTTAAACAGGCTAGGGCTAGGCTCAATATACAACTCGGTCAGTACAGATCAAGGCATTTACAAGCCCATGGTCTGGTTTTTAAAAGAACTCAGTAAAGTGGGAAGGGACAGGGAAAGAGATTGAATTTACAGGTGGCTAACGGAGGCCCAGAGAGATCAGTTAATATTGCTATTGTTATTACTGTTATTACTAGCAATGTTTGAACCTTTATGGAGTGCTTCACCAGGTACCATGCTAGCAATCCCATTTAATCCTCACAACCACCATACGAGACAGTTACTATGATTCCCTCTATTGTGTAGATGAAAACACATGGAGTACTTGAGGTTAAGTTCTTGCCTAAGATCACTTAGGCAGAGCTGGGATTTGAACAGCCAGATCCACCCGATTCTCTGAAGCCCATTTTTCTTGCTGGGGGTCACAGATAGGAAAGGGACAATGAATCTTTTGTTCACTGTTTGAAAGGATGATACATTCGCATAGTCCAAAACTCAGAAGGTACAGAAGGGAAGTATCTCCCAGCCACCCTCGTGCTCTCTCCTGAGTTTTTTGTGAACCCTTGTAGACTTATTTTATGTATATTTTCATAGTATGTACACACACACACACAGACACACACACACACACGTTTCCTCTCTACAGAAATGGTAACATACTAAAGGTACTCTTCTGTACCTTCACAGTTCAAGTACCCAATACCCCACCTAGGACTTGGCCAAGATCCCAGCCAGGTAAGGGCAGGGCAGGCACTTGGCCTCCAAACTCTGCATCCAGTGCTCGCTCCCCACCGCACCCCCCAACTCACCCACAGCAGCTGACTCAGCCCCAGGCTGCTCTAACAACCAGACACAAAAGCAGCAAGAAATGGCCATGATGCCTTCTGGGCAGGACACTCCATCCTGCAGAAGGGACCTTTAGGCTCACTCCTCCATCTGCGAAGCTGGGCTCCCAGGGGATGAGGCAGGTGGTCAGACTCACCCTGTCCACCTTCTTCTTCTTCTGTGTGGCGGCAACAGCAGACAGAGCCCGCTCTAACTCTCCCGTACGCTGCAATGAACGTTGCAGGCGGGCAGCCAGATCCTTTGACTCTTCTGTAATGAGAGAGTTGAAATGGGGCCCAAAGGACTCCCCCTAAAGACCTATCGAAGTGCCAGGTTGAAGGATGACAGGGTGCCCAGATTCCCACCTTCAAAGTACATGAGAGAGCGTTTCGTATGATACAGGTCTATAGTTAGTTTCCTTTTCTGTATGTTCAATCTCTGGATTTGAGCCTTTGGGAGAAAAGCCAAGCAAGTGCTGAAAGAGAAGGAAAGAAACATTCTCGGGAGGACAGAAGAAAACTTCACACCCTCCACTCACCTCTAGCTCCCTTTCGGCTTTCTGTTTCTCATTGTTTGCCTTCTTTTCCTACAGGAAGAGGAAGACAGAGCTCTTACCAGGGGGATGCAGAGATGGCACAGCAAGAGACATGCCCCCAGAATGCCACCAATGCCCCAGGACAGACCCACCCATGGGATTAGGTTATCAGGGACCCTGTGGGGATGGGGTGGAATCTGAAGGGTGAGCCTTCTTCCCCAGGCTGGGAGTGGGCGAGACAAGACTGGGGCCTTCTACATCTGAGTGTCCCCCAAACCCAGCCGTCATGGCATGAGCAAAGAAATCGTGTTACTTCTTCCAGCTGATGTTCCACTTGTTTCTTCTGTTGTTTCTGTTGGGAGAGTCAAATTAAGGTGATGGAGGGTGGCCCCCTCAACTCTATTCCCCAGGCCAGGAAGCGGTAGGCAGGGCCAGGAATGGATTTTAAAGGCAAAGTTCTCAGACCCAATGGGAACACAAACTGGTAAACTCTCCTCAAGCTCCCAAAGACAGAGGATTTGGGTCTTTGTCTTTGTTGCTTTTTGCCCACAGCCACAGAACTCAGTGTGAATCTGGAATCTCTTGAGAGGACAGGAACATAAACCTCTAGAGATGGAGTTTGAGAAAGGCCCCCCTTCTGCCCGCTTGTGATTTAGAAAAGTGCGTTCATTCAATAAACATTTACTGAGCACGTATGGGTCAGGTACGGTTCTTCACAGTATATATAGGATGGAAAAGGACAGATAGGAGCCCTTGGCCCTGAAGTTTCCGTTCTAGGGAGCCTTTACATCTCAGACTCTCAGAGCTAACAGACACCTTTGATACTCACTACCTCTTCTGGAAACACAAGCCCAAAAAGGAGAGGCGGCTTGTCCAGAATCAAAGAGCAAATTAGGGACTGAGTCACAGCAGAAATATGGGGCCCCTGGCAACCAGTCAGGCTAGCACTTCCCCGAGGGGCAAAAACCCCAGGGCGTGTGTAGCAAGGACTCAAGCAGGGGTGTGTGGAGAGGAGACAGTCGGCAAAGAGGGCAGCAAAAGAAGAGCCATGCTGCATGCTCTGGGGTCCCTCCAGGTGAGGTCTGGGTGCCTCAGCTCCCTATTTGCCCTTTGCACCAGGGCCCCCAGCCCCTTTCTTCAGAGCCCCAAGAGGAAACTGGAGCCCAGGATTGGCAGCGTGGAATCAGGGGACCCCACTGGACTCTTACCAAAGATTTGATGGTGTTATTCAGTCGATTGATATTGACGGACCTTGAGTCAAGGACTACTGCTTGTTCTTGGCACAGGCTCTGAGGTGCATGCAGAGAGGAGGAGGTGGAGGAGGAGTTGGGGGAGAGGTAGAGAGAACAATCATTAGGGCTGGGGTGTGTGTGGGCTGTCTCAGCTAGCAGAGGGGCACCGAGTCCCTGCTGCGGGAGGAGGTTGGAGGGCTGGCCTGTGTGGTCACTGCACCTCCACCCAGAGCCTCCTACCTCCAGATCCTTCAGGGAAGCAGATGATGTAGGGCCCACCCCGTGGATACCTGTTGCTGACTACAAGAGAGTGCACACGGAGATATTCTGTTCCCCTCAGTGTCTAAGCCCTCTGACTTCCTTTCATTCACATCAACTGGCAACATTTTCTTTTCTGTCTCTCTTGGACCCTTTGTCCCATAACTCCTTTGTGCCAACTTCTCTCATGGTTATTTCCCCACCATTCCACCCTGGGGTCTGAAATCAGTGACTCCTGATGGCAAGTGGCTGTTCTCATTGTCCTGGCTTCCCCTTGAGACTGGGGATGAGGAAAATCAAAGAGCAATGACCATATCCTGGGTGCGCTGAGTGTTTACAGCAGGCCATGTACTAGGGATTAACATAAAAACAACAATAACAAATCTCATTTAAACCTCACAAATGGAAGGCAAACAATAGAACCTCTATTATACAGATGTGAAAAGAGAGGCCCGAAAAGCTCAAGCAGCTTGCCCTAAATCATATCCCTAGCAGATGGAGAGGCAGGATTCAAACCCAGAATTCATTTTTTTTTTTTTCCTTTTTATGAGATGGAATCTTGCTTTGTCTCCCAGGCTGGAGCACAGTGGCGAGATCTTGGCTCACTGCAAGCTCCGCCTCCTAGGTTCATGCCATTCTCCTGCCTCAGCCTCCCGAGCAGCTGGGAATACAGGCACCCACCACCATGCTGGCTAATTTTTTTTGTATTTTTCAGTGAAGACGGGGTTTCACCATGTTAGGCAGGATGGTGTCAATTTTCTGACCTTGTGATCTGCCCAGGGTGGTCTCCCAAAGTGCTGGGATTACAAGTGTGAGCCACTGTGCCCGGCTAAACCCAGAATTCTTAACCAGTACCCAACAGTCCATCCACAATCTTAACAATTACCCTCTACTGCCCCTTCGGCCCCCTGTCCCCAGGAGCCTGGCCACCAACACTCACATCCCCAGGTGAGTGGCAACCATCAGAAGTGGATGTCTCTGGGTTACTGCCATTCGTTTTCCTGTTACTCTTTGCTTCTCCTGGAACAGCAGGGCTGTTTCTCTGCCAATATTCTTTTAACTGTGGGAAAGAAGAGCAGTAATCGTCATGAGAACTATCGGCCCCTACAGCCACATCCTCCCTTACAGTTTTTACAAAATACTCTTATACACCATCTGATTTAACGACACCAACCACTGTATAATAAGTGTTGTCACAATCTTTTAGGGACTGAGAGGAATTGATATCATAGCTAGAAAAAGAGAAAAAAGAAAAAGGCGATACTGGAACTTTGAAACTCAGTCTTCTGACTCCAAGCTCTGGGGTTTTGCCAAGAATCAGCAGCTGCCAGGGACCAAAACCAGAGGCAGAGGTAGAAAAGTAAACATTAAGTAGGCAGGAACTGTATGCCCTGTGGTTTAGAGTCATACATCCTCACACGTCTGTTAGTGTGAAGAAGTGCACCAGTACCTCTCAAACTTCTATATCAATGTGTCCTCATGGCAGAAGGAAGCCTTTCTGTTAAATCCAGGAATTAACAGAAAGAGGACTACCCAAGCCTCATTTCAGAGAGAAGTCTGGTATTCTCTTAGAAACCTATGTGACTGTCATCCCTAAGTATATTCATGTTTTTTCTCTTGATCTCAAGAGAATCCAGGGAAACTGATGCTTCAGAAAGATGTCTCACATTTATCCTGTGGCACTCAAAGTTCCCCAGGTCAAGATAATACGAGGAAGAGTCAAACTGTCAAGTGCAGTTTCCCAAGATCTATTCCACAGAAGATGAGCAAATCTCACTTCAGAGATGACTGACTGAAGGGCAGTCTGGTCCCAGAACCATAGAGAATTAGAATATGAGGTGGAGAGCTCAGAAAAAAATGTTAAAATCTCTGGAAAGCAGAAGCCTGGGAGAAAACCAAACTAAACCCATTTTCCCCTTGCCACATGGAGGTACGGTCAACGTTTTGCGCTTGCAGGGAAGTGTAGGCTTTCCCCCCCATCAATGTCGATGTTAAGGGAGTGAGGCAGCCTGAAACCTCTTGCTCCTAGGTCCCACAGTCTCCATTCCCCTTCCAGCTGGAAATTTGCACTGTGACCAGAGGAACCAGAAATGGGGTGAGAACACTTAGGGGACTGGGTCATAAGAATAAATGCCAGTCTTGCAGTAAGGACAGTTCCTAGGCAGACTCTGACATCACTACATTCCACTCCTCCTGATTGGGGGGAGGGACCACATCAGTGCAATGTCCGAGTTACCACTCCACGATGGGGGAGGGAAACACAGGGTTGGGACCCAGGTCCTTGGAGATGCCAGTGCAAAGAGCCCAGGGAGGTTGACCTTGAGGCAGCAGGAGGGGAGGGCAGAGTCTGCAGCAGGAAGCCTTAGGAGTCACCAGCCCAAAGTCACCCGGGGATGACTGGCGAGGGTGGGGTCGGTGGCTGGGGGACCCAGGTCCTTGGAGACACGAGCCCAAAGAGCCCAGGGAGGTCGAGCTTGGGTCGGCAGGAGGTGAGGGCCTAGTAATGGAGAGGGGAACCCCAGGAGTCACCCACCCAGAGTCACCCTGGAGTGATTGGTGAGGGCAGGGACTGGGCTGATGCTGAAGGGGCAGGGCTGACTGACAAGACTTTTGTGTGGGGAGCCCAGAGACACCTGCATTGGAGGGCCCTGTCTAGTGTGCCTCAGCAGTGATATGGGCTCTGGCGGTGGTCTTGTCGTCGGAGGGGATCTGTAGCTGGGTTGGGGCCATGACCTGGTGTGTTTTTACCTTTTTCTTGGCTGCGGCTAATCTGTTCTGTGGAGTTTCTTCTGCCATTGCGGGGTGGGAAAGGGAGGTGGGGTTGGGGCCACAACAGCAAATTCCCAGCGAGCACTGATCAAGACCTCCAGTCACCTACCAGGCAGCTGTGTGACTGAGCCACAGGAGTGGTAACCAGGGCCCCAGTAGAATGTAGAATAGGGGCGTGGCCTTAATGCTCCAAGCCTATTGGTCAAGGAGAAAGATGAAAGGGAAAGGGGCGTGGCCAGGCAGCATTGTGTCCAGAGGGACCTGTGGCTCATAAGGAAAGCTACTCATACAACTGCTGTTCACATCCACTCTGAAAGAGGGGATGGGCTGCCCACTCTGGGAGAGGGAAGGGGCCAGCTTTTGCTTTAAAAGCTTTAAAACTTTAAAAAATATATGTGTGCATACTTTATATATAGATGTGTGTCTGTGTGTGTGTATCTATGTGTTCCTCTAGAGCTGTCTTCATTACCTAGCTTCTATGCAAGGTCTATGATTTTGGCCTATATTTTTATCTTCAAATACAGTACAAAAATTACCAGTATTACCTGAACTGAGATACAGATCTTATAAAAATGGAAAATCCATAACATGCTTGATGATTAATGAAGCAGACTATATTATTCAACTATTTTATAATTCAATAAAATAAAATAATCACAATGATTTCTCTTTTTTTGAAAAACGTTTCTCTTACTCTCCTACGTTATTGTTAAGATTTTTTTTCTCAAACAAGAAGCATGTTTAATATCTGGAAAAACACAAAGGTTTTGGGCCAGGTGTAGAGGCTCAAGCCTGTAATCCCAGCATCTTGGGAACCTGAGACGGGTGGATCATCTGAGGTCAGGAGTTCGAGACCAGCCTGGCCAACATGGTGAAACCCCATCTCTACTAAAAATACAAAAACTAGCCAGGTGTTGTGGTGGGTGCCGGTAATTCCAGCTATTTGGGAGGCTGAGGCAGGAGAATCACTTGGACCCAAGAGATGGAGGTTGCAGTGAGCCAAGCCTCACGCCACTGCACTCCAGCCTGGGTGACAGAGCAAGACTGCATCTCAAAAGAAATACAATACAATACAAAATAAATTTTAAAAGCTTTCAATTTAATAAGCACTCAAAGCTCTTTACTGGTTTAAAACAAATACAAGGCCCATTTTTCTAGAATCACCTGGCCTCTCTAAGCCTTGCAAAGAAAACCGAATTTCTCACGTGATACTTGGCTATGACTTGCAATCATGAAAACCAAGAACTGTGTTATGTCACTGTGTATTAATTGGTACCTGGAGTTCACACAAGGCTGGGATCAAGGGTTGAATCTTTCATGATTTGCTCCATAATCTATGTGCGTCTTATCCCAGACCAAACTAAGCTTTTGTTTAGAATTCTACAATTGACAGTTAGTAGACAAGAGTGGGTCTCAGTAATGTAGTCTCTGGATTAGCAGCACCAGCAGCACCTGAGAACTTTTCATAAGTGCAAATTCTCAGGCCCTACCCTGGACCTGGTAAATCAGAAACTCTGGAGTAGGGCTCAGCAATTTGTGCTGCAGTCATCCCTCCAGGTGTTCAGGGACCTCTGCCATACAGCAGGTAGAAAAATGTGTTTCCTTCTGTATGTCAAAAGCCAGGGATACTCTATGTTGTGTCTCGATATGAAACAATGGCATGCAATTAAAACACATAACTCTCCTTCCTACTCCCACCCTCCATCCAATGTGTTTTATTTTCATGAGTTCCAAAAGAAAACAAGTGGCAATCAGAAGTTCAGTCTAAAAAGTATATGTACAAGTATTAGTTCTCATCCAGCCTTATAGAAAACCATTTACATCCTCTCACAGCTAAAGTTTTAAAAAAGTATCTTCACAATCTAAGTTTCAGGCACACTAGGAGTTCTATAATAAAACACCAAGTAGATCAGAAGGTCCAAACTTACTAGAGAAGAAAAGTGGAATCATTGGCTATATTTCCAAATTGCATTCAAAGGAAATTTAAGTTCTGAATTGTTTTCACCTTCATACTTCCAAGTTAATAGAATTCAACCAGAACACTCCATTCCTTCAAAGCCTCTAGCCAGGCAAAGTTTTACTGTATTACTTCTTGCTTTCAATGGATATAGGCAGAGTCCTGGTAGGCACATTTTGTATACCTGCAAAGGTGCAGAACTAAACTGTTCCATCTGTTCCATATTAAAACAAAAGTCCTGTAAACCTTGGATGGTGAGTGTAATACTTCAGCACTAGCACCAAAACCTCAAATATGAGAAGATATCAAGAACACCACTAGCAAACAAAACTAAATTCTTGGCTGGGAGCAGTAGTTCACACCTGTAATCCCAGCACTCTGACAAGCCAAGGTGGGAGGATTACTCGAAGTCAAGAGTTCAAGACAAGCCTGGGAAGCATAGGGAATTCTCATCTCTACAAAAAAAAATTTAAAAACAGCTGGGCATTGCGGCACAGACCTGTCATGCTAGCTACTTGGCAGGCTGAGGTGGGAAAATTGCTTCTTCCCAGGAGTTCGAGGCTCTAGTAGCTATGATTATGGCACTGAACTCCAGCCTGGGTGACAGAGCGAGACCTAGATAATTACATTCTCTCCTGCTCCTGTTTACACTAAAATCACTAAGTTAAAATGCTTTCAAATTTGGCAGGATAAAAATTAAGTGAAATGTGACTTTGGAGTTTGGAGGAAGAAAGAAAGAAGGAAGGGAGGGAGGGAGGTAGGGAGGGAAGGAATGGAAGGAGGGAGGGAGGAAGGAAGGAAGAAGGGGGAAACAGAAAAGGAAAAGAAAGGAAAGGAAGAAGGAAGGAAGGAAAAGGAAAGAAAGGAAGAAAAGAAAAAAAGGAAGGAAAGAAGGAAACAAAAGATAAAAGAAAAGAAGAAAAGGAAAAGAAAGGAAAGGAAAAAAAGGAAAGGAAAGGGAAGGGAAGGAAGAAGGAAAAGAAAAATAGAAAGAAATAACAAATTACATACTGGGAGAAAGTTTTAGTAACCTCAATGACAAATAAAAGGATTGTATCTTTAGTCTGTAAAGAAATATTTTAAATTACTCAGAAAAACAAAAACAAAAACAAATGATTTTCAACAGAAAATGGGCAATGGAGAAACAGTCACTTCTCACAAAAATAAAAATGGCCAATAGGTATACAACGAAGATTCAAAAGCACTAGAAATCAAAGAAATGTCATGAAAACAATGATATTTTCTGTATAAAGGCCCAAAGATGACAAATGGAAGGGGGAACCTGGAGCTCTGTTCCTGTTGGTGGGAGTATAAACTGAGACATTTTTCCTGGAAGATAATTTGAAAATTTCTATTAAAGACCCTCAAAATTATTACCCTCCAGAAATTCTACTTCTATGAATTCAGTCCAAAAATGCTTGCTCGACTCCATTAAAATGTATATATACAAAAATTCACCTCTGCGGCGGCAATGATAAACTTAATATACATCCAGCTATTAAAAATGATGATGCTAGGATATATTTCCTGTCACAGAAGTATGCCCAAAATATAGTAAGTGGCAAAAGACTATCTAATATGATTCTACTTTTGAAAATATTTACATGTATAAAAAGTATAAAAAACAACAAACCAGAATGTTTTGAGTGGCAAATTAAAGATTTTTCTTAATATTTGTCATCCAAATTATTACAAAAAGAATGTGATTTCCTTTATAATCAGGGAGAAGTGTTATTTTCATTTATTTATCTTTAAATCTCTTTTCTTTTTCTTATTTTTCCTCCCGTATGTATCCCAAGTAGGCTAGAACTCCTGCCTCTTGAGGGAAACCAGCCAATTTGTGGGAAGTGCACTACATAAAGCTGCCCATCTTCCTTTTATTTTAATAGATCTGGAGGCATTTTTATTTCAAATTGTTTTACTGTTCTCAGAATATATGTTAATATATGAAATTGAGGAAAGGACAAAGGAAAGGCTGACTCCCTACCCTCCTAGGGTTACTCTTCCAATTTTTGCTGCTATTGTTACATACTAGTATTCACTGGGTACTAAAAAGATGGGCAGCCCCTTAGATCCTTTTTTCTTATCTCTTTCTCATAATCCTACTTCATTCCTTCATTCACTTATTTTTAAAAGGGTCATGTGTACATATCGTTCAGAAAATTTCTAAATGTAACTATCTATAAAAGTATGTGGCAAAATCCCATTCAGAGTCTTATTCTCCTTCCACAGCCAAACACTTTTAATTGGTTTCTTATATATCATTTCAGAATTTATCTTTCCAAATACACATGTATATTCTTATTCTACTCTTCTCTCTCAACACAAAAAGTAGCATACCACACATACGATACCATTCCTTCTTCCTTTTAAAACACACACATCATCAATCTGAGTTCTTCTACATGAGTGCAGAGTCTTTCTCATTCTTCTTTTCAGCTGCACAGTATGCATCATTTGTATGGACCACAGTTTACTTAACCAGTTCCTGTTGGTGGACACTGAAGTCATCCCTATCATACTGTTACAAACAATAGTGTCAAGCACAACCACCTGCACACACCAAGTTCATTTCTGAATCTGCCTTTGATGAAGCCTCTGCTTGAATCACCACAAGGTCACAAGGCTGAAAAGTTAGCCCCTTTTTTAGTTTTCATTAAGTACAGCAGTATGTAGCAAAAGACTCTCTCGGCCAAAGCAAACGTACTCTTTGGGGACTTACTTCATAACAATAAATGGATAAACAGAACACCAAGGAGAACATGTTCTATTTAACCATGCACATGTATGCATACAATACATGAATGTACACAGAAAGTTTAAATAAATCCATCAAAGCATTAAGCATTGTCTCAGTATGATGGATCTATGGAGTGCTTTGTAGACCGCCCTCCTTGCCTGTCAATTCTTTCTAATTCCACAACAGTAAATATGTATACTTCTACAATATAAAATTTCAAAAAATGCTAACTCAAATTAAGCTGCATATATTCCTTCTGTCTGTCCCACATTTGTATGGTGTCCAGAGTGCTCAAATATCACTTTGTTAAAAACATTTAATTATTTTTCAATATAGAGATGGCAGGGTCTTGCTCTGTTGACCAGGCTGGTCTTGAACTCCTAGATCCTCCTGGATCCCCTCACTTCCATCTCCCAAAGTGCCAGTATCACAAGTGTGAGCCATC